AAATGTCGATTCCAGATTATCAATTTACCATTTCTTTTACAGTAGTGAAATATTTGAGGTATATACATAAATAGCGTAAACTAAATATATATTTTAAAATATACTATAAAGTTTATATTTTTACCAAAGTAGCATAATCCAAATTATTAAATCCAAACCGACGTAAATATATATGTATACTAGGAAAACTTATACTTATATTATATTTGAAAGATATGAATATTTGTGATTTTTTTAAATAGGAGTGAAATTTCTTGATATTTGTTAAAAAGAAAAAAAAAATCTATTTTGACTCTTTATGAACTACATTCCTTAGCTTTAGTCTCTAATTTTTTTTAGTTCAAAAACACTTTAATAGTTTTAATTTCTTGAAGATAATGAGAGTAAAGTTGAAAGTTATTATTTTTAATTTTTTATTAAAGAAAAATCAGATAGTTTAATGTAGTGTGATGTCGTCGTCTTATTACGGAGAGACGTTGCTCCTATCTTAACATGTTAAACTTTGCTAAAAAAAAAGGTAAATTTCTAAGTTTTTATCTTTCCAAATTTCAATTAATCTCGAGGTATTTCTAAGAATCTTTCACTCCACATATCATTCTTCCACTCAAACCTATGATATAGATTAACCATTTTACTCTATATTTTGAAGTTTGAATTATTATTATTCTTCTTTTTTCTTTTTCTTTTTATTATTATTCTTCTTTTTTCTTTTTCTTTTTTTTTAGAGATTGTATTATTCATTTGATCAATGCAATTTTGATGCAACATATTCAGAAAATGTATTACTTTTTTATTGTCCCTTCGTAATAATACTTTTTGATCTTTTAATTTTAATTTGTTGTTTGGAGTCCTTTCAAATCTTAGAAGGTAGATTTTGGCAATCACAATGATAGAACAGCTTGGAGTTAAAAGTAAATTGTTATTATAATAATTAAACCTTTTTTTTCTTTACTTGAATAAAATGTTAAAAAAAGCTAAATTACAAAAAAGAAAAAAAATTATCAATGAAGTTTGTCCTTGTTTTAAAAATATCTTTATCCTTTGAAAATTTCAATATTATGTTTGCACTTTTATTAATGTTTCAAAAATATCTCTAGAGCAAACATCAGAGTAATATTTTGAACAAAAAATTGACATTGAAGAATTTAAAATGATGTGATCGATTAACATAGTAAATTGAAAGTCTTCTTCCTCCATTGTCAATAGAATTTGCTTCTCCATTGTGTTTACTCAAATTTGTCCTAATCTTTATTTTAAAATCCATACCTTCTTCCATATTTCTTTTTTTTTCATATTTATTTATTATATTTAATAGCCACATCATTTAGATTTTGAAGGTATTTTTGAAACGTTTACAAAACGTCGAGGATATTATTGAAATTTATAGTATATTTTTTAAATAAATTGCAAAGTGGATAGGTATCTTTTTTGTAATTTAGCCTATATTTTTATATTCCATGTTCTTGAATTTAAAATTGACATCCGAGACAAAAGACAAAGAAAAGGGAAATAAATGGATGTGACAAATAATTATTAGATGAGAGGGAATTGCATAATTATTATTATTTTTTTTTTGAAACAGATTGAATATCAGTGGATACACTTGAGATGATTTGGGTTTGTTCAATTTTCAAAAATTGTTTAGGATATTTGATTTGAAATTATAGACATGAGGCTTGAATGATTGATAAAAAAGCAAAATTTATAAGTATTTTTTATTTCTGAAAAAATAAATCAACTCAGCTACAGTTTATAAATTGAATTTGAAAAATAAAATGTGTGTGGAGAGAAAATTGTGGGAAGCAAAAAAATAATAATAATAATAAAAAATCAAATCAAATCAAATGTCAATTCTAGGTTGCTTAGAGGGATGAAAATCAACCTAGTTATCCATGCAGGGATTCTGCTGTCCCTTTTATCCCTTTCTTTTCACACCCCAATATCTTTCTTCTTGGATCCCTTTTCTTTTTTTTTTCCTTTTTAATTTCTCTCATTTTATTCTATATTATTTCCCAACAATTTTTCATTCCAAAATATAAAAACAAAGTGTAATTTTGAAAAAAAAATTACTAAATATACGTTTTAATCTGAATGTTCCAGTGTTTTTTCAATCTAACCCTTATTAGTTATAGATTATCAATTTAGTCCCTTATATTTTAATATTTTTAAAATTAGTTACTTGTTATTGGTCATAATCCTTTGTGAATCGGTAGAAATTAAGAAATAAAAAGCTCTAATAAGTATTGATAGAATTTTCGAATTTTTTTCCTCCCGTTGATCTTTATTCTTATCTAAATGTCCACTAATTCATTTAGTATAAGGTAAGGTAAGTTTATTATTAACCGTTTTTAACATCCACGAGCATCAAACACTCATAATAAATTGAATTAAAAAAACACTTAAACATACCCTAATGAATAAAAAAAAGTAATTTAATAGACTGGATAGAACTGATCAATTACATTTTTAATTCCTATGAGTAAGGTATGGAATGAAACTACATCGTGTTAAATTAAGTTACTACAGGCTAAATACTTTTCCATAATATCTTTCTATTAACTGATCTAAGAATAATTACGTAAAATAAACATGACAATACATATATATATAGAAATAATTTTTTTTTCTAGTTCAACGACATAAATAAACATGACCAATACATGTATAGTTGTAACATTTTATATTCGATTTTTGAATAAAATATAAATCAATAGTTATAATTACAGATTTTCCTTTTGAAAAATAATAATAATAAATTAAAAAATTTTAAAATGGTGAAATAGAAAGGGATTAGGAAGCGTGAAAGAATAGAAATGGGAGATCAGTGCAATTATATACTGACATTTTTATTTTATTTTTTGTCTAACAATAATATTAGGAGACAGTGACTTTGAAATGATTTCTATTGGATTTCCAACAAATTCAAAACATCACTTTGCTAAAACTTTCAAACTCCCTTCTGTCCTTTTTATTCTTCTCCCCTTTTTCCCTTCTCATAAAATAAAGTACACAACTTTTTAACTATACATTAGTTTTCATTTTTTGTCTCTAATATATTTATATTTTTTAATTGCAAAATATAAAATTTGAAGAGAATTAGAGAAATTATTAAAAATAAATAAAAAAAAAGGTCCTACCGGGAGTCGAACCCAGGTCGCTGGATTCAAAGTCCAGAGTGCTAACCACTACACCATAGAACCAGATGTTGACCTTAGTGATAAATTGTAAATAAAACTCTATATAAGTAATATTGCGGCAATTTTCCTTTTATTGTTTAAAAGTAGTTTTTGCAAACCTTTTTTTTCCTTTTTTAGATTATCTTCCAATTTAAACAATTTTAATTGTAGTCGTTATTCCGCTATGTTACAGATGTCCGTCTAAATCAGTTCATCGTGTCAACTCAATCATAATTCAATCGGTTAAAATATTTAGTTTTAAGAAAAAAGTCGTAAGTTCAAATTCTGATTTCACATATGTATTGTACTCATTTGTGACGTCAACATGAACAAAGTTCAGCGGTAATTGATATCTATTCATTCATTTGAAATTGTAGGTCTGAACCAAACACAATTCACAGCAAAATAACAACAAACATCAAAGTCCTTATTTTATGTTATATATATATCATCTTCTATTAGTTTGCTATTCTTCAAAAAGTGCCAATATAGTATGGTTAAAGGTTAAATTACAAATCTTTAGTCTTTAAACTATAAGAAGTGAATAATAGATCCTCCAAATTCAAATTTATAAGTATTCCATAAGTCATCTTTAAAATTAAATTAGTAAACTTTCAATCGATTGTCTAACTCCATGTAGGAAGGAGCGTTATGGGAAATCAATGTTTCGGACCGAATAGAACTTACCTCCGACACTCGACTTTCTCCACTGACTTCTGGTATCACTGGAAGGATCAAAACCACATTCAGGGATAAAGGAGCGGCAAATATGTATGTCATATCTATATTGAATTATATTGATTCTTATCGAGATTTAATTTATTTTCTTGTGGGTTTTTTCTCTTTGTACTTGAAAAGAAAAAGTGAAAGTAAAACTGTGAGGCAAGTTTGGCAATGATGTGGTGTTGATTTTTGCCCAGTTTCGTACCATTTTGCAACTCTCTTCACTATTTTCCATTAATTACTAAACGCCAATCTCTCTCTCTCTTCTCTCTCTCTAAACTCGAAACTAAGAAGAAGAAGAAGATGACGATGATGATGAAGATTTTAGAGGCAAATTCTAAGCCCCGCTTTTCATGGGGGTCTTCTTCTGCAAAAAACAACCCTAATTCCCTCTCTCTCTCTCCTCTTTCTCTCTCTTCTGCAACTGTGTGTCATGGCTGATGGCGACTCAAACTGTCAATTCCCCAAACTTATTTCTCACAATCATCATCCCCCAAAACCCTAATTTCCTTCTACCACTTCCATGCATTTTATATAATATACTTTAATTGTCTTGATTATTCCAAATTTGCCTCTAATTGTTTTTACCAATTTAAATTTTCAATAAAGATTATCGAATCATTAAGTCCTCACATTCTCCATATCTTAAATTTAATCAATTACCCTCTTTTTTACCTCTGTAAAGAATCAATTACCCTCTTAATTCTTAAAGTTACAAAATTATACTATAGTATGCAAAATGTGAACCCAATTCTCTGTTTTGAAGTTTGAAGAACTAAAAAATATTTAGATTAAATTGTACATATCTATGAATTTTATCGTAACCCTTTTTTTCTCTGTTAAATGTCAAGTTAAACTATTAAATATTTTCATGACCAATTCGAGATTTAGAGCAAAATTTTGAACTTCAAATGTTACAGAGAGAACAAAACACCTAATGCAATTGATATAATTTAACCTATAATTTTACTCAAATAACCCCATTTTCCATTTCTTCATTCAACCCCCAAAAAAAAGGCAGAAATATTCAAACTCGTACCCCTTTTTCTCACTACATTCACATCCTTATCCATTTCCAGTACTATTTCAAAGATATTGACACTGAAATTAAAACCCATTTCAAAATTCGTAAAAAAAAAAAAGAAAAAAAAAAGAAGAAGAGTTGAGAAATTTTCATATGGTCCGACCGCCATTGTTGATGCATGAAGAAGCTTCGGTACTGAACAAATGTGCCACCGACGTAACCACTGAACATTTCCTTCCGTTTTTCTGCACTTTCTTCAACTTATTATTATTAATATTAATATTTATATCAGGATTCATTTTCGATAACGTGGACGACGACGATGACGTGGACTGAAGTGGGACAACCAGCGGGATTTCGAAGTTCGTTCGCGCCTTCGATCCCCTCAACCGCCTCGCCGCCGCGTCGTACGCACGCGCCGCTTCCTCCGCCGTGTCAAACGTCCCCAGCCAATGCCGGCACCGTCCGATTCGGTCCCGTATCTCCGCCGACCACCGTCCCCACGGCCTCTTCCTCACTCCTCTGTAGCTCCTCTGCCCCGTAGCCACCGCCGCCTTCTTCGACGCGCTCGCTGCGGATGAAGCGTCGTCGTTTTTGCCCGCCCCGGCGCCGCCTCCACCGAACAGGACGTGCCGCCCGACGACGGCGGCAATTCCGTCGAGCTGCACCGGCGGTGGCTCCGGCAAGAATTGGGTTTCGAAAAAGGCTTCGTAGAGAGACTGAATTGCCATATCGTTAATCATGGCGGAGATGGAGACGAATTGGGGGAGATTAGTGACCATTTTATATTGGAAAATAAAATAATATAATAAAAAAAACATTAAATTTAACTTAATTTTAAAAAAATTATGAAAATATTATTTATAAAAGTCCTATCAATATCGATGAGACCGCAATCTCTCGCATTTATATACTTGTCTTTCCTCTTGCAGGAGGGATATACCCACCAAAAGACGGAAATACCCTTATAATTTGGTGGAAATTACAATGATTACGGTGTTTCTGTTGAGCCATGGAACGGCGTCGTTTGGGAGCTGAGATGTCATGGAGGGTATTTATGGGAATTGAGGAGAGGGATGATCTCGAGGGGGGGAATCGTGGCCGTTGGATTGGGAGAGCGTCATGGTGGCGTCAAGGGAAAAGATTGTTTGACTGCTTGGCTTAATTTGTGGGTGTATTTAAAAATTTAAAGACCTGTTTTTGGTATTAATTAATTGTGATTTGGAAGTGAGATTTGAGTTGGGTACGGGAGAGGCGCACCGTAGTAACCGTGTGGAACCATGTGATGGACCATCATGGAACTGGATGATGCTTTGAATCTGTGATGGACCATAAAAAAATATCGTATATATTTATATGTATATTTAAGTGATTATCGATCGGTACTCCTATTAGACTGAAGAAATATATGGATCGGTAAATATTTAAGTATAGATGCAAAGTGAAAGATTTATGTTGGTCTTGTTCGTTTGCTCACCACCATTGGTCCACTTGTAAGGTAATCAAAATTTTATTGAAATCTTATTTTTTGTCCTCGTAAACCTCTGATTAATCAAAGACTCATTAAAAGTGACAATTTTGTTCACGTTGATATGTTGTATATTAATTGATCACTACAAAATTACTACAAAGGTGGGATGAGAATGAGCACACAGGCTTTAAATATTGACATTAATCACAACACATTTACGAAAAATTAATAACTAAAATGATCGTCTTTTAAAAGCTCCAAAAATAAAATATGCGTTTTGAAAATATATAAAGGGATCTAGAAAAGAAATAGAAATATTCATTTAAACTTAAAATTATCTAGCAATTTATTTTTGTTTGATTTAAATTTCAATTTTTCTTCAAATAATTATATTCTTTTTGTAGTGAAAATTGATTTTTTGTAGGGTAACTATTTTCAAAGAGTTGTGTTTCTTTGTATTGTACCTGAAAATGTACCTTTTTAGAATAAGTAAAAACTGTGCTTCCATTGACAAATGTGAGCAGTGAATAGTAGTTTGAGTACACAGTAACTATATTTTAAGAGGGTCAATTTTCAAAACACAATCCCATCAATTAAACATTTCTCAAAAATATTCTATCAATTAATTAGTTATTATATCTGTTGTTTTATTTTTAACAATATTTTCAAATTAATAAGCCAAAGTTTAAAGAACTAATTATTACTTGACTAGTAGGGTTATTTCACGGGAAATTGGGATTTTTGACCCCTTTCAATAACCACTCTGGATTTTTGACCCCCTTTTGTTTTTTACTTATTCATGACCCCTCCCCTTATTTTATCATGTAAATTGACTAAATTGCCCTCATTTCATAATAAATGCATTTATGATATAATAAATTTCCAACAAACCCACCAACCACCAACTTAACAATTCTCACTTTGTTTTTTCAACTCCAAATCACCACACACACGCAAGTCACGTTTTTTTTCCAATACTCAAGATTTTCTCCACGTGATTGTTGGCCCACATTATCCAATCGATCGGTCCCCACATAATCCGTTATCTCGAATCCATTGTTTTCACAATATAGGTATGTCCATTTCATCATTTTAGAATATTGTACTTCTTCAAACTTGTAATGATACGAAATTTTATCATTTTTCTAGAAAAAAACGTTATTTTACGGAAAACAGAAATGAAGTCTAGAATTTATCTTGGACCGGGATTGGTACGGGATGAGGCCCGAGATGGAATCCAGAAAGTCCATCCTTCTGGAATGGACTTTCAGGGTTTCATCCCGGTCCTAAATCCACCGGGCTTAAAGCCGAGATGGAACCCTGAAAGTCAAAAATTAAAACAAAACAATGGAMGCAACAATAAATCAAACTTCATAATAACCTTGGCTACTTCAGATAGAGCCGAAGTTTGAAAGCTCTGATAGAGAAATTACCTCAATTAGGGAAGGGGGAAAGCTTTGATAGAGACGAAGTGAGGGAGACGAAGAAGAAACGACGGAGATGAACTTTCTTGTTGTGAGGGAGAGACCGGGATGAAGACTGGGATGGACAACGAGATAGTGAATGAGGGAGGGGAAGGACCGAGACAGGGAGGGAAAGTAGGGGAGGGCTGAGTTTGATTTCTTTTTTTAAATTGAGGGTAACTTGGTAATTTTACCAAGCAAAATAAGGGGATGGTTCAAAAATTTGAGGTGGAGGGATCATAAATAGGTAAAAATCAAAAGGGGGTCAAAAGTCAAAGTAGTTATTGGAATGGGTCAAAAATCCCAATTTCCCGTTATTTCACCCTACTTATTAAATAGTCATAGATTGAACATAATAAAACATTAATAATTTGCCAAACCCAAAACTTTCCTTTTTACTGTAGAATATTAAAATACTAGAATTATTCCATTAATCCTTAATTTCTCATTTTTTGTTGAGTGGGTCGACATAAATTGTCGTTCCAGCATTGAAGTGCAGCATTTCCGATGTGTCGTTTCGGAAGAGTTGGTTAAAGCTTTGGGGTTAATTAATTAATTAATTAATTAATTTGACCTTCTCAAAGCATAGATTAAGAACATCACTTTGGAGTACGGTTTAAGAGAATGGAGGGCCTCGAAAATCTAAATGATGTTTTCGGTTTAACTATTGTTTTAATCCTCATGAGTTCATCTTAGTTCAATTTAATTTAATGCTTTTAGTATAAGGTTATTTGCCATATTCAAGGAATATGATAGGATGCATAACATATCATTAAAATAAAATGTCACATCTATTAATAATCTATCATATTAAACAGGTTAAGACACCTGTGTATTACCAAATAGTTATCAGCTCGATCCCGTCCACACGTGTTATACTAATATATATGTATATATATATTATGTTGATTTTTCATAATACGAAATTTAGCTATGAAAAATGTATCTCTTTACTTTTATGTTCTTCCAATAGATCATTTTTGTTAGTACAACAAATTTGATGTATCTAATAGATTCTTAAACTTTAAAAAATGTCTAATAAATTTTTAAGTTTTTAATTTCGTATATCTATTGGATTTTATATATTTAGGAACATAGTGAACCCAAATTACTTAATAAATCGTTTAATTAAAAAAAATCTAATAAACTATGAATCTATTAGACATGAAATTAAAATTTCAGAGATATATGGGACACTTTATATTAAAAGTTTGTTTTAAAGTTCACAAAAACCTAACACCCTTCCTAGGTCCATTTGGGAAACTCCAATCTCTTTCTTTGTCAACCTTAGGGATTCCACATTGATAAAAGAATGGACATTACATAGGTTTATAATAGACATAAACACCTCTCGTTATCAATTGGTTTTGAGATAGAACCTCATAAATATTGATATGGTATCAGAACTCGGTCAAGATCGATGAGTCAAAAGAGCCACGATCTTGAAGGGGTATATTAAGAATCCCATATTGATAAAAGAAATGACTCGGAAGTTCGATTCTCCACCCACATCGTCAAGCTCAAAAGAAGAAAAAAAAAAGTGTGGGTTTGTGTGTGCGTTGAGGAGAAACATTCGGCACAACACAAACACAAGACAGAATGTCTGTGTAAGTGATCTAAATGAACAGAGCACTGTTTTCGATTTGAGATTTTAGAAGAACACGAAAGACAGTGTTGTTCCCAAGAGAGAGAGAGAGCACGCGAGAGGATGCGTTTGGACTGGAAGACTCTTCCATTTCTTCTTCTTCACCTCACAGAATCCCAACAACAAACAAACAAACAAATTAAGTATGGTATCATTATATCTTTATCATTTTTGTACTTTGGTGTTTGTATTGAATGGTGTAACTTCTCTATTGTTAGAGACTTGAGATAAGAGAGATTTGTTCCTTTGTCTTATTTTGCAAGTTTTGAATTGCTTGTGGGGAATTCATATCTTTTCTGTAATTTGCCCAATACCACCAAACAAAAACTATGTTGTCTCTTAGAAGCTATGAGAAGCCAATGGTAAACTACTTTCATTTCATTTCATTATCTCTCTCTCTCTCTCAGTCATGTTCAGTACTTGTTTAACTCAGGGCCATATGTGATTTGCTTTGGTTCCAACTGGTTTTAGGACAATGTGATTGGTGGTTTTACGTGAGAGGAAAAGATTATAAAACGGGTTTCGAGTTTGTGTCGAAGGGTTATTAGGGGTGTGATAGTGTGCACTATGTCAACTTTATATTTCATTAGGATTAGAAGTGGATTGGTTTGTTAGTTTTCGTATTATTTGTGATTGATGTACACACATAAAACTATTTCGTAGGAATGAATTATCGGGATAAAATGATACATAATTGGATCAATTTGAGAAAAATCAAAATTTAAGCTAGTAAAGAAGAGTACAAAAAACATAATCGTGACCAAATATCTGAAAGAGTAGTGCCGAGGCACCCAAAAATTGGCTATGGCACCGTGCAGGAAGGTTTCCTATCACACGGCTCACCAACTTGATCTTCCACGGGATCTTAAAACTACAACTTATTTTTAATCTCGTCCTTTTAACTTTACCATTATTTCAAAGCACCCCTCATGCTGAGGACAAAATTGAAACATTTTCATCATACCTACTTCATGTTTTTGTCAAAGTTCTTGAGACCAGAATAAAAGATACACATATAATACAAGAACAAAAACTATGATTTAATCTACATGTCATACTTTATACAATGATAGATAAGGATATTTTATTAAAGTAGACTTTAAAACTAACACTAATCATTTCAAAGGGTAACACAAACAGAGTACTTGCAAAAGCTTCTTCTTTTTCCCCTCCTTTTGAGACCACCAAATGGACAAGATAAAAGTTTACTTCAAATCATTACAGTACATACAAGACTTGGTAAGAATTGTCATCTGGTATAATTTTAGATCAGCCAAGTACAGAGATGCAATCCAGCAGAACATTAGCAGCATGCTCCAGTTCTTGCTCTGTGATGATCAATGGCGGCACCAACCGAACAACGTTCCCCTTACCCGCGGTTAATATCAACAGACCGCAGTTTCGACAGGCGTCTACGAGAGGGCCTGCAGGCACATCCAGTTCTATCCCCAGAATAAGCCCTTGCCCTCTCACTTCTTTGACATGTGAGTTTCTTCCCAGCTTTTTCCTCAGCAAATTTTTCATGTACTCGCCTTTGTGGGAGACGCTGAGCAAGAACCCGGGATCTGAGATCTTGTCTAGGACAGCGATTGCAGCATTGCAGACGAGGGGCGAGCCTGCAAAAGTGCTTCCATGGTCTCCATAGTTTATTGCAGCAGCGATTCTTTCGGTCACTAGTACAGCCCCAATCGGGAGACCTCCGGCTAGAGGCTTGGCAAGGGTCATTATATCTGGAAATAAACCATAGGTTTCATGTGCCCATAGATGACCAGTTCTACCCAACCCACATTGAACCTATACATACAGAAGTTTCTTAGTTTTCTCCCCAATTGATCAACTACAGCTCATGCTTATCATGTATATCAGTTCATTTACAAAGCAATTTGCTAATATAACACAAGACATTGCAGTAGAATCAAACAGTTGTTCAGTAACTGTAAGATTAGTCAAGTTATATGGAATTCAACTCAGAGAGCCAACAGTTACAAGGAAACTAGATAGCACTTAGCAGAACAATCAATGAATCTTATAATGATTGATCTATTAACAGGATTATAAGTGTCAAGGGAGATTCTGTTGTACCTCATCGAAGACTAGAAGAGATCCAGCCTCATCGCAAGCACTTCTCAAGGAAAGCAAGAACTCCTTTGTGGCACTGTGAATGCCACCTTCACCCTGGAGGGGTTCGACGAAAACCGCTGCAATTTTTCCTTGAAGAATCAAGTTTCTTGCAGCCTCAATATCCCCGTATGGTAAGAAAGTAACACCCGGCATAACGGGCTCGAAAGGGGCCCTGTAATGCTCTTTACTCGTTAAGGCAAGAGCACCCATTGTCCTGCCATGGAAACAATTGGAGAAAGCAATGAACTCCACAGGAGGTTGTTTGGCATCTGGATGAGAAAATCTCTGAAACTTCCTGGAAAATTTGATGGCCGCTTCATTTGCTTCCGTGCCAGAGTTGGTGAAAAACACACGATCCGCAAACGATTTTGCCACAAGGCGTTTTGCAAGTTCCACCTACAGCAATGAAACAGATTTCCCAGTTCCACTCATGAGCAAAACAAAAAAAAAAAAATCATTCAAATTTCCATTCATCTGGAAATTTAATATAGAAGCCGTTTCACTTTCAATCTAAAAAAAAAGAAGATACTGACCTGAGGGATGGAATAAAAGATGTTGCTAACGTGAGAGACGGTATTCGCCTGCTCAATCACCGCCCGCAGCCAATCGGGATCACCGTGACCTAGGGAATTCACAGCAATCCCGGCCGCCATATCCAAATACTCTCGCCCTTCGAGATCATACAGTTTACAGCCCTTGCCGCTGGAAAGAACAACCGGCGCTCGAGCATAGGTTCCGACCAGAACCTTACGGTCCAAATCGATCACCTCCTCGCTCGATAAACCGATTTCCCCCTTTCGGTGCTTCGTCGAGCTGGGTCCCTGCACCTCGACGCCAAGGCAGGCGCGAACTCTCCAGCCATTGATGGGAGCACGAAACAGGACTGAACCGGGATGGGAAGAACAGGAGCAACCGATGAAGGACTGAAGTGAGGCCATTGGGTTTCTCGCTGTGAGGGAAACTGAGACCAACGGAGCTTAAAACGATGGAATTTAGGATGGAAATGGAGAAGATGAGTGATTTGGTTCCTTGGGAATGGAATCGGAGAAAGAATATAATAATCAAGAGCAGAAATTGAACTGATTCGGATTCAATTTCCGGAGGCGTGGCTGCGAATGAATGGCGATTGAAGAAATCAAAATGGAATTTGGTGTCAAGGGTTTAGAGAGTGAGAGAGTACTGCCATTGAAATTTATGCTTCTTGTGGGAAAAAATGGCTTTCGAGTTTGAACAAAAAAAAAATGGCCCTTTGAATAATAGAATATTAAAAACCATTTTGTTACCTTTTTTTTATTTAAACAAAAAATATCTACTTTACCAAAACACCCCTCCCTAGTTCTGCTGTAGATTTTTAAAATCTTTTTTTAATCAATTTCCCATCAATTTTTAATAAGATTTTTATCTACTAAGCAACAAGTTGACAAATTCATACTCTACGTTGAAGATGGAAATAGAATTAGATTAACACAATTTGTAAGGATGTATTTTAACAAAGGAAACATTTTGTCATAATTATACTCAGTCAAAATATTACTTACTTTGATAGAGATCAGAAGTTCAATATCGCGCGAAAACTAAAACAACAAAATAAACGAAACATTCTAAATTTTAGGTTAAAATACTATTAAAGTCTTTATACTGATAACTTTCGTTCATTTTGGTCAAAGTATTTTCAACTTTTGTCTATTTTAGTACTTTTACTTTCAACGTTCATTTTTATCTTTGTACTCTTAGAAATGATTTCGATCACAATTTCTACATGAACTTTATACTCAATATATTTTTTGAAATGCATCCATTATTTTATATTAAAATTTTATCTATTGTATAGAATTTGTGTTAAAATTTTGAAAACAAATACCAAAATTGTCACATCTTTAAAGTACATGGAAGACTTTGAAAGTACGTAGACTAAAATAAACAAAATAAAATACATAGATTAAAATAAACAAAAATTTAAAATATATGGACAAAATAAATATGTTAAAAGTAGAGGGGGCAAATTAACCGAAGATAAAAATACAGAGACAAAGTAATATTTTAATATAAAGTTTAATAAATAAAATAGTAAGATAAGATGTGACCAAAAGAAATGTAACATTTTATTTTATATCTAGAGGGGTACTTTCGTCAACAAATGGGAATTTGAAGATGGGATATGACGTTCCCAGCCAAAAAATAAAAATAAACATGTAGTGGTGTATTGGGACCATGATGCAAGAGATGACGTGGAACTTAGTTGCATCATCAACGTCAGCATCAACTCCACGTCAGACGACTAGCGAAAACCACTATGACACAATTAATAATGCAAATAAACAAAGAAAACCAACACAAATATAATTTAATGTTCTTAGTAAAAAAGAAAAAAACAGTTTTCAATTTGTAAAAATGACTTTACCAAGGACTTGTGAAAGCAACACCAAATCATCTCTTTCTAATTTTACATACAAGCAATAAGCATACACAAATTATTTGACAAATGGATGAGTCCAGAATTAGACAAAATTTGAAGTCTCAATACATCCATGACAGGTCTTGCCTGAACGATATCGTTCTCGCGGCGCCATGGACGCCCCTCTCGGAGATCTGAGGGCAGTCTTCCACGGCCAACGATTCGAGTTTGTATGCATCAACTAGTGGCTTCAGCCCATCGTCTGTGATCCCCAAGCATTTGCTCAACCGTAGGTAGCGCAGCTGAGGGAACTGGCTCACCAGCTGCAGCCCCTCGTCACTTATCTCTTGGCATCTTACGAGCTCCAGAGTTTCGAGATAGGAGGCCGAGCAGAGAGCTTCCAACCCCATGTCGTTGAAGGAGTAGACGTGGTCGAGAGCGAGCTCGCGAACTGGGCACATGTGGACTAGAACGAGGATCCCGTTGAGGGAAAATGAGGAGAGTGAGGGGAACTCACCATCTGCAAATGAGATCCTGACTGATTCGAGATGGGAGCAGTTCTCGGCTAAGGCTTTTAAGCTCTCGTCTGTTAATCTTAATGTGTTGTTGGCTAACAATGGAAGTGAAAAGTCTGATGGAACTCGGAGGGAGATGGATCGGAGATTATGCGATTCTCGAGCCAAGCTTATTATATCGCAATCTCTCACTCCAACACACATGTCCAAATGAACTTTCTGCAGATTCTTGCACTTTCCTAACACACAGGCAAGTCCTTTCCCTGGACTGATTATGCAGTTCACCAAACTGAGTTCCAACATATCATCACATGGGATCCACTGCTTTTGCCATCGATCAACGGCTAACCGATCATAAACCTTCATGTATCGATAGTTTGCATCGACTTCAAATTGCAGCCGCTTCAACTTCCGCCAACTATGGCCTAGCTTGATCAGATCACCTTCACCAATTGCTCTACAGTTCCTGATCGAGAGATCTTCAAGCGTTTCAAGCTTGCCGAGGTATTCGAGCCACTCAACACTGCTGACATTCAAGCATCGGATAAGATGGAGGACAGTGAGGTTTTTGCATCCAACAGCGATTGAGAATACACCACAGCCAGTTATTCTCGGGGTGAAGTTCAGCTTTAGAGCTGAAAGATTGGAGCAGGAAGTTAAATGGCGGAGTCCTACGTCGGTGATGAATGTGCAATAGCTTAAGGTGAGATCAGTTAGAGATGGACAATGGCTTGAAAGGATAAAAAGTCCATGATCATCCAATTGCTTCCCAAGTTTCGACATCCAACCCGAATAAGTGATCTCAATTCGTGATAAGTTGGGAAACCTGAGACACAGAGATGTCAAAGCTTCATCAGCAGGGTCTAATCCGCAACCAACCCGAAGAAATTGTCTGTTTTCCTTGTCCAAATCGTGAAGGCGCTTACACGATAATGACAGAGAGTTTCTGTCAACGGTTTTCTTAACTCTATTCAGTATTTCCCAAATCAAGACTTCTGGTAAAGCATCCATTGTAACAAGCCTCTTCTGCAACACAAGACAATAATCTATTAGCAGAAACTGCAAAAACTGTATAAATAACCGAAATATCCCGAAGTCTTCTCCATGGCTCTCAGACCACATTCGCACCTTGGTCAAGGAAAAGATCAAAAAGAACATGGTTTAAACTCAATGAAAATCTGTCAACTCTCATTAAGAAGTCAATTTGTGACTCACATAATCAAGATTCCAAACCAGCCATCTATCTTTCATATAAACATCATAGAAACCAAAAAGTAAACAATGGACTACTGCTCACATAAGTAACAGGGTTGAGGGAAAATTTTCCACAATGGGTGCCAAATACTTCCCATTAGAGAAATTGAATAATTGATCGAAATACACCCACCACATGAATTTGAAGCTAGCCAATGGACTTTGAATATTATTACTTGGTTCACATTTCAAATAATTCTGCTTTACAGAGGTTTTTCAAAATCAAACAAACATAATTTAATTCATTGAAGGAACCAAACACAGAATATACAGATTCAGAAGAATGCCCAATATAAATGAGAGAAGGTACCCAAGAAAAAAAAATCAATTCAATAGAACTGGGAGATCATCAAGAATTGTTCCATATAATCAGGAAAACGAAGGAGAGAACAAGTAATCGTGTTAACGAGGGAAAGAAGCAAGACACGATGAATTCACCCTCATAAACAGAGACGAAAAAGCCCCAATTTAACGAATACTTTCAAAATTCATGAACAAAATTGAAAATCATTCGAAGCGGAGATGTATCGACAAAGAAGAATTCAGAAACCGCACCTGAAAAGATGAACTGAGAGAGGTAGAAGCTATATCCTTCGGATTACAGTAAAGGGATGCTGAGATTCGGGTGATATTTTAACGGGAAAAGAAGGATAGATATTTATTCAGAGAAGGACATTCATGATTCAAATTCAATTCAATTCAAGTTCGCCCCCAAAATATCTCTGTATCCAATCCACAAATCTGTACCTGAGATATAAAATTAAATATCTACGACCAATTTCGGAAAAAGGGAAAAAGATCGATTCCGTTGCGTAGCGAAGAGATCGGGGGTCGAGGGTTCGTACTAGATTTAGATTTTAAGTAGAGAAACAATCTGAGGATTCTTTGTTCTTCGCAATTTCGATCGGTCGTGAACATTTCCCATATTATCGGTGGACATAACATTACACGTAAATCTATGTACCAATAATTTACTAATTTAGTCTATACTAAAATACGTCGCACTGTACTAACAAAATAATAATAATAATACTTCTTTTTTTTTAACCAGAGAGAAGAAAGACTAGATGTCTTTACCGTTAAGTTATACTTGTTTTAATTATACATTTTCAAACTAACTTGTTTTAATTATACATTTTCAACATATATTATAGTTTGGATGGAGTAAAACAAGAGGTAAGATTTCGAGTGGATAAAAATAGTTTAAAAATAATTTGTAAAGTTTGATCGATAGAAATCAAATTGAACGTATTATTATTACAAAGACTAAATCCAAATTAAGTTCAAAACAGTAAACCAAATTGGAATTTTCAAATAAAAAACTAAACCATAGAGGCTGAAAGTTTAAAAACTATAAAAAAAAAAACCTAAATATTTGTCTATGATGAATCACGAGTTGTTTGTTGGTCAGCATGATTCTAGTTCAATACATTATAAAATCTCTGCTAAAATGTTGAAATCTCCTCTCACCCAAAAATATATACATATATATTTATTTATTTATTTTAAGAGATTTCTTATATGAAAATATAATCGTTCGTATAACATCAAGTTAAACAATTTACTATTTAGAAATATTGACAATAAGAAAAAAAATCATCTCTTTCATTTATTACTTATTACTATTTTCATGAGTTCAACGACATGCGGAATGGAATAGATGTTTTAATCGAGCACATATGTTCATGTTTGTCAACAAAAGAAATATCTATTAAATTTTTTAAAATTATAAACATGAACCAAATAACCAATAACCAAACCAAAAATTGAAAGAAGGGTGGTTATCTAGCTAAGAGCTTAAAAGGTGAGAACTCTCATCTTTTGAAGAAACATTCGATCAAGTCTTCCATGGCACAATACAAGTAACTAGACCTTTTATTGCTGCAAAAGTATTTCTCACTTTACTTACAAGGGCCTTAATTGCTAACATTGAATACTGTTGACAAGTTCATCTGGGAGTGTTTATTTACAAGCTACCACGAAAAAGTATAGAGTTGGAATCGTCGGCGTCGAGTTTAGCTTCTTCTCTTGTTGTTGGACTTGGAGCTTCCTTTGCCATTGTTCTTAGTAGATGGCTCTGCTGCTGATACTTGAAGAAGACTGGCATCACTTGCCTCACTTGATACTGATAGTTGCTCCATCTGCTGCTGACCAGTTTCGAGGTATGTCATAAGTTCTCCAAGCTGAGTGTGGCATCAAAAATAAACTATTAATTCAAGAAACCAAACTGTTGAGATCAGAGTCAATGAGCATAATTTCTGAAGGAGAGAGGTCAAAAGAGAGAAGAGGAGAGAAATTGAGAGGTCGAAAACATGCATCACCTGCCCTTCTAAATCCTGTATTTTGTTGTCCTTTGCTTCTAAAGTCTTTTTTTCCCTGTTTCAATCAAATATCTCAGGTATTTGAAAATAAAAATTGAAAGAAACAGTACTTAACCACACATCGATTAGAAGGAGAGAGCTCCTACTCACTTCCTAACGTGGCATATATTTATTGACTCAAAAGTTTAGTTTTAGTTGGATCCACTTATCTATAAGTCAGTAGTAACTCTTACTAGCCGGTGTGCGGGCCAGTATTTTCTAAAATGAAAAACAACAATTATCTGCTGCCTTGTTCAGCTACTTAATTTTGGGATATAGTGGTGAAATATGAATTGTGTTAATTCCCTGAAACTATTCAATTCACATGTAGATGTTGGGGCTAAAACTTGCAATGATTACTGCAGAACAGAATTTGCTCACAAGATTTATGAGAGGATTCTGTCATCATACACTATCCAGTATGTGTTAAAATTCAACTAGCAGGTCATCTAAAATAAGCCATAAAGAAAATAAATTTTGAATCTGAACCAGGCAGCACAGTTTCAAGTTTCAACACCCAGATAGCTTAACTGAGAATCAACGGGATAGACATTTTACCTTTCTTCCATTTCAACGATCTTTGTCTTCCATATCTCCTGGTTTTTCAAGAGATTCTCATTCAGCTGCAGGCAAAACAATAAACATCATCAGCGCTCCCAGCAAGATTGTAGCATTTAAATAGATAATGTGTCTCAACTATCACGTCTTCCAATACAAAGAAAGTGGCTTAAACTGCAATATAACATAAGTAGTCACTAACATCATCTAGAAATTTTTTTTCCTTGATGCACCTATCCAGCTTAGCCTGCAGCTTCTGCAGTTTTTGATTGATGGCCTTCTCAACAGCTATAGATTTTTCTCTTTCAGTATCTTCTTTGACTTCTTGTAGCAGTGACTCAAAATACTAAAATTGAAACAGAATAAACTGGTGAAAAATGGAAAAATTGCAGCAAAAAGGTTGAACTACAAAACCACTCATTGGTGGAAAGAAGTCAACAAGGAATAGAAGACATACTAGTTTTTGGTTCTCAAGTTGACTGGTAAGCAGTTCATTGTACTCGTTGACAATCTAATGGTATCATCAGTCATCACAATTTGTTAGCACGTATTTTTCAGAATATAACCCAGATCAGTAACTAGGTACAAGGGATAAAGCTATTACAAGTTCAACTCTACTGTTCAAAAGAGCCTCACTAGTTGCAGCATCTTCACCACCGCAACTCATGCACCCATCATTTGCATGAGCACAATATGAATTCAACTCAACCAGTTTCCCATCCGTTTTGGATTGGATCAATCGATGGACATAATTATCTCCCGCATAATCCCATACACGTTGAGTTTCTAATTCAAGAGAATAACAGTGCTGCGTATCTTTCCAATGTACTATAGCATGCCCTTCTTTATACCTGAACCCGATTTAACAATATTTTAGTATTCCAACCAATACACAACTTAAAAGAGGGTGAAACATTGATAATGTGCCAGTGATAAAATAACAGAGAATGAAAAATGAATCAAAAGAGAAAACATTACTTGCCACAGCCAACAAAGCCACAGATGACACAAATCCACAGGTTTTCAGAAGTCTGGCAAACAAAACATACTGATTTCTCAGGCTGCTGCTGACAATATCTACACACCTGGAAATTATCAAACAAGTTTATTAGACAGAAACATATTAGGTGACGCACTACTTCCAAACTAAACTGATCAAAAACCAGAGGGAAAGTGTTAGAATAAGAACATCAGCTAAGAGTTGAAAAAATCACCTACCGGACAAGAGGAATCAGTCCATTTTGAAATACATGAACAATGGAAGGAATGATTGCAGATAGTGGTGAGAATTCCACTTGTATCTTGGTCCAATCTATCTGCGTCATCAGGAGGAAAACGGTGGGACCAAACATGAATAAGCAAATCAACAAGGCACCAGTGCCAAACATGCCTTGGGAATTTTGTTAGTGAATGGATAAATGGAATGGAAAGGGCATGAGAGTCATATGCATGATGTAAGAGGCTAATATTGTACAAAAGAATGTAGAGCTGCATAGAAAATATCTAATTGACAATATGCTTAAGAATTATATAACAAAGTGCAAGATTTAAAGCATTTCTATCTACACTTACCCAGGCAGACCGGACATGTTGGCTGCTCAGTTGAACTTACAGGAGATGCTTGAGCATGTTCAATTGAGGCTGTGTATTGAACATCAACCATGAAAAGCACACGACAAACTTCTGCCTATATGCAAATGGAAATTTTTATTAAACAAAAGGCCATAGTCCCTAAACAATCCTTCCAAAGCGGATAAACATGTTAGAAACCAAAGCTAATGCCCAACCTCCAGTGATGAGTATCGCCTCTCGTTTAAATGCTTGTAGAAGTTATCTGCTGAATCTTGACTGCGAAATCTGATTAGTATACTGTATCTGTCCTCCATCCCATCGCCTCTATCCCACACAAAAACAGCAATAATAAAGAAATTAATAAAACCAAGGTGAGATTCAGTAAATCTGTAGAAGAATACCTAAACACTATTTAAACAGGAATATTAGTTGAGAAATTACACCTGACAACTCGCATCTCCAAAATTTCTTGAATGAATGAACCACAAAACTGGCAAAAGTCAGCATAAGTCATATGATTTGGCACTCCAAGAACACAAACAAGAGGCTTCCTCTCGACCTAATAAAACAAACTATTTGTTCAGTGACTTGAGCACATACAAAAAGAGAAGCATCGAGTTCTTAAATCAAGCCCAATCAAATCTAGGAAAGTACGGATATGACAATAGTTGAACAACATTTACATCTCAATTCTTTTTAAGGGAAATATTGATTCTCATCAAACTTCTGAATGTATTCTTCATATAACATGCAGACTAAATACCGTCCATGGTTAAATTTGCGCTCATTCCAGCCCCTAATGGCTAATACGTGGTAATTTTTCCATCAAGAAAATGAAGGTTAAATTTGAACCAACCAGAAATAGTTTCAGAATCGAAAATGAACTTTACATACAGAAAATCCCAACTGTGAGGTCATAGTTTTACTTTAATATCAGGCAACAATTGAATTTAAGGTTCGGAATCAGAAGCCCTAACTGCATTGCTGAAGGATGACAACCAACAATGATGTGACCTTTTCAAATAAAAGTTGCTTCGCGAACATTTTCGGTAATTTCGAATCGTTTAAGCTTCATAATCTCTCTTTGAAACAATCGTGATATAGGAAATTGAATAAAGGAGAATTTTATTTCAAAACTTTTCATTCTGTGATACATATAAGAGCTCAATTTTAAAACAAGGCTGACTTCTTGCCGAGAAAACCCAATACTATAAATTATCCCAAACAAGAGAAACCGCCTTGAAGACCGACAAATTGAACTTTCATAGAAACGAAAAGCAAGAATTAAGGATTGAAGAACCGTAGCTCACATGGAGACTAGAAGGCGAGGTCGAGGAAGACGAGAAAACTTCATCTCGGAATAGATGTACGACCCCTCTGATCTCCTCGATTCTTGGGTTTCCAGAGGAGAAATGGAAGGCCTGAGTCACACCTGAAATGGAAGAGGAGGAAGAAGAAGAAAAATCGCTAGGATCGCCTGAAACCATGGCCGATTTCGGAGGCCGGAATCCTTCATCGGAACTTGCCGGTACGTCGCTGGTCGAGCTAGTCGACATGCCGGCGACTAGTTGTGATGGCAAAATTGAGTTTTCGCGGGTAAACAATTTATGCGCCGATTACATCATCGATAAACTAGCAAAAACATCAGTTTTAGCCGGGTTCAAAATGTCGAGAGATAACATACTCGTATCGGGCAAAAATCGATTTATTCCCATGTCGTGACTCAAATATCAACCTGTCTTTTTTTTTCTAGGTTATTTTATTTTCGACATCTTTCTACTATGTCACTACAATCTATAATTTCTCACAATCTCGATGATTATAATCTTAGCTGTTTAATGAAATATTCGCATTCTAATACTGTATAAATTATAACTAATAAGATTTGAAATTTGTTTCGTTGAATTTCTAATCCAATTTAGTTCTTAGTTACACAATTGAACAATATAAGTGAAATATTGACATATATAAAGGTTGAAATAATTTTAGAATTTTTAAAAAATAAAATATTATTATATACAAATAGTGGTGAAACATAAAGTAGAATTGGTAACTTAATTAATACCAAAAAGATGATCTCATATGATCTAGTACACTATATTACTAACTTTGATATAAATTACAATAGTTCTCCTATATCGTCCTACATTGAAAGTTTTGAAGGTAGTTGCTCAAATGACTAGAATATGAAACACATATGGATCCTATTAGTAGATAATTTGGATGATTTGGATGAATGACACAATCACGAGGTTGAGGTGTTAGAAAATTGTGTAAATTTGATTAGAAAATTTGATTGATAATTGATTTGAAAATATGTAATTCAAATTTGAAAGGAGAAGTAAGTAAAAAGTGAACAAATACGAATTAATTAGAATTTATAGATGTGTTTGAAAACCAATTCGGTAATTATCTCATTTCCAAATGAATCCTATTATGAAAAACACTAAAGAAGTAGTCAAAAGTTTACAATTAAAGTTTACTTTACATATTCAAATAATTTCCATCGATCTTCATTAATGGGAAAAAAAATTCGATATTTCTATCAACATCGACATTTTCATAAGTAAAATGGTCATATTCTTCCATTTAATGTTAAATGTGATCAATTATAGGTTAATTAAGCTACAATTCAAGTTTTATTTGCTAATTCAAAAAAATTTCATAAATTTCCACGATTTCCATTATTTTTCTCGAAATATCCATCGACATATCCGTAAAATTGAGACCTCGACATTTTCATCGACATCAACATTTTGAACATCGGCAACAAGTAGAAAATTATATTTGTCAACAAAAAAGAGTAGAAAATTATACAAATTATATTAAATTATAAATTTAATTTAGTTGCTTCATTTTTATCATCCAAACTATTTAATCTCTTGAATTTAATTGAATTGTGACTTATTAGAATAGGTATTGTATACGTTACGGTCTACATGAGTATAACTTAAAGTATTAAGATATCTACCATTTGAAGTTCAAATATTAACCTCACATTGGTGTTGTATTAAGAAAAAATCTATAAGTTATATCATTGTTGCTAATTAATAATAATATAATATACATACAATTGAGTAACAAACTAGCTGATAGAAAAATATTCAATCCTACTTATTTTTGCATTAAATATCCTCCACAAACAATTGGATCCTCTTCGAATTAATAGAGGAAACATGCAAGACAAATTGTGAGCACTTCAATGCTCAAGTCAATATATGTCGGAATATGTATCAAGGTACTTTTGTCGAGATTCACTTACTCTTCATTGTGTGCTTACTATTTTATCTTATAGGCGAGTTGGGAGAGTGTTGGCAAAAATATTCATGTGATGCACGTCGTATATCGTGGGACGTTAGAGGATTACATACGATTTTTAACCGCATTTATTTCCTTATTTGGATCACAGTGTCATAGGAACATAGTGTGTTGTTGTAGTTTGAGATAATTGTAAAAACTATTATCAAAATTCATAAAGAAAATTTTGGAAGCTTCCTACACACATATCAATTAAAGACAATTTTAGATGTTTTTCTTACTTATATATGTTGTTATAAATCTATTATTTGTCAACAATGTCAACGAAGTATGTTGTAGAAGGAAAAAAAAAGAAAGAGAAATGGAGGAAGTAGCAGTGTCAACTTGGATGACAGCACTAGCCAAGGTCAAGAAGAAAAGAGGAAAGAGAGAAGAAGAAAGGAAGAAAAAGGTAGAATAATAAGCGAATCCATGTTACCAAATCAGCAAGTTCAATAAATTAAACTAGTAATTATTATGTAATTATTTTTGTTAGTCGATTAAACCACTCCAAGTATCATTTAAACAAATTAAAGTGAACATAGGTCAGCAGCAATTGACGTATATCTCCAATCAATAGGTTGTGAGTTCGAATCACTCAATCCACCGAAAAAACCAAAATTTCGTTATTTACTATAAAATAAAAAGATGAAAGATAAAAGCAAAAGTTGACGCAAAATTCAGGCCCAGGCCAAAGCTTTGGGCTTCAAAGCAGCTGACCCGCGGGCCCGTTCAGCCCAGTCACTCAATTCGCGGTGCCTTCAACTCTGAACAGAACCAGAAACTCAAGACCTCTCCGATTAGAAACATCGGAAAATGCTTTCTTCACTCGCTTCCCGCCGTTTTCCTCCGTTTATTCTCTCTTTCTCCGAAGTCCTCCTACCGCCGGGGAATCTGTTATTTTCCACCAAAACAGCCGCTCCCATTTCGGAGCTCGATTGCAAGTTCAACAGCCCGGAGCGTCGCCCGGTACAAACTAATTTCGACCCTTCTACTGTTCGCGAGGCGCTCGATTCTTACTGCAACGACTGGCGGCGTTCGTTTGAGTTTTTCAACTGGGTCGAATCAGAATGTAAGTTCGATCACACCACCGAGACCTACAATCGAATGCTCGACATTCTCGGTAAGTTCTTTGAGTTTGACATTTCGTGGGTCTTGGTTCAGCGGATGCAACAATCTGCATTTGCTTCGCCGGATCATGCGACGTTTCGAATTTTATTTAAGCGTTATGCGTCGGCGCATTTGGTTACTGAAGCAATTGCTGCTTACGAGAGATCGCGGGAATTTAAATTGAGGGATGAGACTTCGTTTTGTAATCTCATCGACGCACTTTGCGAGTACCGACATGTTGTTGAAGCTCAGGATTTGTGTTTTGGTAAGAACAAGAAGGTGGACTGTAATGCGAGTACGAAGATTCATAACCTAATTCTTCGTGGTTGGCTTAAGATGGGATGGTGGAGTAAGTGCAGAGAGTTTTGGGAAGAGATGGATAATAAGGGTGTTCGTAAGGATTTACATTCATATTCGATATATATGGATATTCAGTGCAAGAGTGGGAAACCATGGAAGGCTGTTAAATTGTACAAGGAGATGAAAAAGAAGGGAATGAAACTGGATGTTGTGGCTTACAATACGGTGATTCATGCCATTGGGATTTCAGAAGGTGTTGATTTTGCGAGTCGGGTGTTTCACGAGATGAAGGAAATGGGGTGTAAGCCTAATGTTGTGACTTGCAATACGATTATTAAGCTATTTTGTGAGAATGGAAGGTTCAAGGATGCCCATGTGATGCTTGATCAAATGCTTAAGAAGGATTGTCCACCTAATGTTATTACATATCATTGTTTTTTCAGGTCTTTTGAAAAGCCAAACGAGATCCTTATGTTATTTGATAGGATGATTAAATTCGGGGTTCATCCAAAGATGGACACTTATGTGATGCTTATGAGAAAGTTTGGAAGATGGGGGTTTCTAAGACCAGTGTTTTTAGTGTGGAATAAGATGGAGGAACTTGGGTGTAGTCCTAATGAGTCTGCCTACAATGCTCTAATTGATGCTCTTGTGGAGAAGGGCATGATAGATATGGCTAGGAAGTATGACGAAGAGATGGTAGCGAAAGGTCTTTCACCTAAGCTAAGAGAGGAATTGGGGACGAAGATGGTGAATGGGGGCTATCATGCCAATGTGATATGCAACGAGTAGGTAGTATGTGCACTTCTTGGGGTTTGTAGATGCATCTGATATTGCAATATTTTAATACCCATATTAAGATGTTGCAAGGAAAATTGAGGCTAGCAAGTGGGATTTTGATCTGGACAATTCTGTTATACTGAAATTTGAGGGGAGAGACTAGTAGAGCAGATGGTAACAGTTTGTTAAACATCTGGTAAACTTGATCAACATGATGTTATTGGTTCAGTTCTAACCTAGAAAGTTGAAGTTTGCCCTTTCTTCCTGAAGACTAGATATAGCGGTGGCAGGCCATTATGATGTCTGGATGAATTTTCAGTTTCTAAGAGTTAACGGAGCTTGCTGCAGATGATTTCTAAGATTCTTCATGTTGGCATCAAATTGTTGATCACTGATTAGCACATACGTTTAACGAATCGATTGAGAACCGTATTTTTACGCATTGTTTTTTAAAGCTCGAGGTGCACTATTCCACAGTAGTCCTCTAAAGCTTAAGCTCGAGGCGCAAAAAAAAGCGTGAGGCGATATTGGATTATCTCCAAGGTATTCATCTCCATTCATGACTCACAAACCGGATTTAAATCTACTTTTTCCCCCCACAATGGGATGAATTATGTAACTTTGTTTGCCAGAAAAAGGAAAGTGGTAATTTAACTATCCAGCTTTATTTATATCATTATATGCATTCAAAGTACTTTTAGTGGCTAAAGAACTTATTGATGCTTGGTGTACTATGTAGTTTGGGAGTTGCTGTACTGGGAAATCGGCATGCAAGGCTTTCATGGTCATATTGGTTCAAGAAAGTTCTGTATTATCAAGTTGCTCTTGCTTATGTGTTTACCTGGCTGATAAATGATAATCAATGTTTCACAGGTCAGCAGAGTATCTTTATTTCTGGGCCGTGCTTATATTTTCCTATGAAAAAACAACTATTTTGGCTTGTCTTTACGAGTAAATTTATAGCACTTTAATTATGTTGAATATTTATCTAGAGAATGCAGGTTTGGTGAATGAAATCTTAGAACAAATTTAAATACTTCAATCTTCAATTAGAACCCTCCTAATTGACCCCATTGTTTTCTTCTCTTCCAACTCGATTATTGTGTTCTTCCAATATTTGATGAGTTTAAGGTTATATATATACTTGCACCTTAACTTAGCTTAAATCTTAACGGGACTGAGGGAAACTAGAAATTAATACGTATTACAACTTAAACACCGTTGGCAGACCAGGTTAAACACAACTTGGCCCACAAATAAATGGTTTATATTATTTTCACTTGAACCAAACCAATAACGCTATCACAAATAAATGGTAATTCCCTTGCAATGATATATGTGGTATAGTTTTTTTTGATATGCAACAAGTATTCCATTGATGGTATGAAATATACAAAAGGCCACATAGACAATTACAAAAACGCCTTCCAATTAAGGATAAGATCGTTGAGAGTGTAACAATTGAAGGTATAGTTTAAATCAGTATTTTTTCCCTTCTGGTAATAAACATTTTTTCTTGGACAAATATAATTAGAAAATGAAGCAAAGAAAAACAACCTAACAGTTGGGATGGAGAAAACCATCTCCGAGAGAAAACCATTAGTAAAAAGACAAAAGATTTCTCTTTATCTTGGAAGATGTCATACTTCTTTTTTCTAGCCATAAAATCCAAAAAAAGGTTCGAACCACACATTTCCAAAGCACTTCGCTCTATCATTCTGATTCAACCACCATCCCAAATAGAGCTTCGGGTGGCCAATTATCAATCTTTTCTGGAATAGCATAGGAGTTTAAAAATCATCATCAGTAATTGCCAATGGGATGTTAGAGCATCCACCAAGACTAACCAAAAGGATGAAATTTGAAAAAAAAAAAGAAGAAAAGAATGAAGGAAAAAAAGAATCCGTTCAAAGTGGTGGATATTTGATAAGGGTAGTAATTACAAAACTCTATTCAACACCAATAATAGGCTACTAAAATAGAAGTTCCTAAAAAAAAAAAAACCTCTACCATTCTCCTAAAAAAGATTTGCTTCTCTCTAACAACAGCAAAGGATATCATTTACCAAATTACTCCACAAAATCTTGCCTCTCTTTAAACGGCAAACTTCCAAGAAACTGATTGAAAAACTCGAAGGTAGCAAACCTTGCCAAAACTGTGCAGTAATTTGAACAAACATCTCCGAGCAGAGGGGTATAGTGAATGGGGTAGTGAATCAAAAAGGTAAATTAGTACTTGATTTGTAACTTTTGTTTTTTATTTTCAAGTTAGAACACCACATTTATTACTACATCAATGAAGCGACCTTTGTGCTCTGTTTCTTATCAAAATAATCACACTAAGAAACTGACTAAGGTTTACTTTAACATTGTTTTTGTTTGTAGTTAATGCAGTTTTATTTAGACAATGAGATACCTTTAGTTTAGGGTCCCTTCTTATCCCTGGGGTGTGAAGCATATTACATATATGACATGGCGGTTTAACCTTTTTGATGTCTTGGTGACGAGAAGGAATTAAATTAAAAAAATAAGAACCACATGGGTCTGCTTATATGACACACATGATTATCTTTTATGATGTAATTGTGCTACCAAACAATTGCTTTTAAAATGTAGAATAATATCCTCTGTGTGGGACAGAGATTATTAAAACGTGTGATTCTTAGATTATGTGGTGGGGAGATTATTTTTAGTGGCATGTGAAAGGCAAGTCTGGCAATGATTTTTATCTTTGATTAAGTCAAAGGAACAAAAGGACAATATATCATGATAAATATGAAAATTACTCTTCTTTTCCTGACTTTGATCTTTGAAAATTATTACACCTCCACATCCATGTAGTAGGAAACTAGTTGCCTTTCTTTTGTCTCCATTGTTATTTCTGTCTTTTTCCGATCTTTAATAATATCATACATTAGAACACGTTTATTATGTTATCTAAAAGAAAACTTCATTGGATCTATAATGCTAAACCAAGATGGAGGTGGGGCTATGTTTGGTGAAAAATCACTATTAGATGAAAGTCTGAGGATGCATTAGCCTTGACGAAAGTGAACAGAATTATTCATTAGTGATGATGTTAACTGTTTGGATGCTTATAAAATCCTCAACTTCCTATTTGCTTGGTACCAATCAATTGCAGAAATAATTACCAGTACTCACCATGAGTTTCTCCAGCAAATCAAGATTGCATTCTCTTCCTGCTGGAAATTCTTGGGGATTGACCTCAGCCTTTGATGAGGAAAAATGGGTCATCCAAATTCGTCAATCCTTAGATGATAGGAGCTTGAGGATGACATTGGAACACCAGTATGCATATTCAATGTCCCCAAGTCTCTTATGGCCATCGATCCTGATTCCTATACTCCACAGGAAGTTGCAATTGGTCCATACCATTACTGGCGCCAAGAGCTGTATGAGATGGAGAGGTACAAGATTGCTGCAGCGAAAAGAGCTCAAAAACAGCTCCAAAGCCCCAAGTTTCACAATATTGTTGAGAAATTGACAAAGTATGAGCGAAAGATCCGATCGTGCTACCACAAATACCTTAATTTCAACAGCGAAACACTCTCTTGGATGATGGCCATTGATGCTTCTTTCCTGCTTGAGATCCTCCGAGTTTATACCATCAGAGAAGAGAAGAATCTCTCAAGGGTTTCCTCAAAATTGTCAAATTTGGTAGATTATGAGGGATGGAAGTCAGCATATAATGCCATCCTAAGAGACATTGTTATGCTTGAGAATCAGATACCTTTATTTGTTATGAGAAAGATGTTGGAACTCCAATTTTCTGCTCTGGAACCAGCAGCAGATCAAAAGTTGCTTTCTATGTTGCTGGGACTGTACGAAGATCTCTCTCCTTTCAAGGTGATGGAAGACTTGGTGAATATTCAAGCATCGGTCTCTGAATGCTTTCATTTGCTTGATTTTTTGTACCGAATGATTACTCCAAAGTTGGCTGACCCATTGGAGATAATGGAAGATGATCAAAATCAAAAGGAACCCACCAGAGAAAACATTGAAAGCGCTTTGAAACACTTATTCAGTCCCTTGAGTAAACTGGGAAGTGAAATTTGGAAGATTCTTTCAAAGCTAAACAGAGGTCCGGTACATTTACTCAGAAGATTGTTGAGCTCTAGACCTTTACAAGTGATCTTCAAACTGCCATGGACAGTCATATCTAAACTTCCTGGAATTGGGATTCTGATAAAGCCTCTTGAACACCTATGTTTGCAGAGACGAGGTAAAGAAGAAAATGATCCAGAAAAGGGGAGTTCAAGGTCAGATGGGAAACCAAGACCTCCATTGTTGGAGGAAATAACAATCCCTTCAGTGTCCCAGCTGGTAAAATCAGGGGTTTGCTTATTGCCCATCGATGGAGGCGTCTCGGCCGTTGCCTTTGACACGAAGGCAGTGATATTTTACCTTCCCACCATTACTCTCGATGTGAACTCTGAAGTAGTATTGAGAAACTTGGTAGCCTATGAAGCTTCAAAACCATTCGGGCCTTTGGTTTTCACCCGTTTCATCGAACTAATGAATGGCATCATCGATTCTGAGGAGGATGTGAAACTGCTCAAGGAAAAAGGAATCATTATGAACCATTTGAAGAGCGATGCAGAAGTTGCCGAGCTCTGGAATGGGATGAGCAAATCCATCAAGTTGACGAAAGTGCCATTCTTGGATAAGGTAATTGAAGATGTAAACAAACATTACAGCAGCAGATGGAAGGTTAAAGCTGTAAAATTTATAGAAAAGTATGTGTTTGGATCATGGCCACTGCTAGCTCTATTAGCTACCATTTTGCTTTTGGCCATGACAGCATTACAAGCATTTTGCTCAGTCTATACCTGCTCTCAGGTTTTCTATCATCTCAACACAGCCAGGACCTAGTTTGTCATATCCTTCTCATCTCCAATCCCTTTAAGCTTATTGTTTTCTTAACGTTATGGTTTGTGATTTTTATGATTCAGCTCGGAATCACTCGGTTCTTGAGCTGTTCGTTATCGTCTCTCGGTTGGTGTTTGGCCAGCCTTAAAGAGAAGAGAAGGAAGGCTTTCTTCTCGAACTGTCCTCAGTCTCGGGTGAGACAAGAACTTTGTAGGTAATTTTTTAGTTGTTCTTTGATGTAAAATAAAGAAATTGTTCTTTGATGTACAATAAAGAAGAAAGAACGGTTTATTCTGTAGAGTATTCTTCTCTTTTGAGTATAACAAAGGTAATAATATGGAGATTTGAACCTCTGACTGGACGATGCACCAAGAAGATTTTTTTTCTTCTTTTTTATTGTTAGGTCCAAAACTATTTGAAAATTGTAATTTGAGTGCTCTCCTTTTCACATTCATAAATAGATGGGAACTTTTCTTTCAAGTGGGAGATGGCGACATAAAGAAAATTAGAGGGTCGAAGTTCAATGGTAAAATTAAATAGAATTATAATATCAAAGGTTTACTAATTTTTAATTGAACACTAACAAGTAACACCCATCAATAATAATAATTATTTTTGGTTGGAAATAATATGGTAAATTATATAATTTATTCAAACAAAGTTAAATTACAAGGTCTTATAATTAGTCTTAGATTTTAGACTTTTTTATCCAAAAGGTCTCCCAAATATTATACTCTTTTTTAATATTTATTATATACAAAATCAAAAGTTAAAAAATCTACCGTATATTTTGCCTTTGCCTAATTATATACCATATATTGATAAGTATCAAATATTTTCATTTTGGTTCAAATGAAAATCTTTTGTTAAAAAAATATTAGTTCCACCTATTTTTTTTAGTACAACATGTGGGGGTGGGGGATCGAACTCACGAGATCGTGATTGGAGGTATATGCCAATTACCGCTAAACTATGCTCGCTTTGACAGTATAATCCATTAGTTCCATGCTACAAGTGGAAAGAAGAACTTTAAGTTAATTTGATGAGTGGATACCATAAAAATGAATAATAAATATTTATTTATATCCGTGTGATGTCTTAACCAACTTACATCCATCTAAATCTTACTTAGTCGAAACAATGTAACTTTTTCTAACGAATGGATCGATTAGATACAAAATCGAGAGTTATCTGTTAAATAAAAATAACTACTTTGTCAAGCATCAAACTAGAAGATATTTCGGTGGGGACGAAAGATATTCTTCGAATGAGGGAAAATGGGCCCACCATAAACCATTCGCAAATTCTAAAGTTCTAAACCCTAAACTAAAAGCTGAGAGAAAAAAATTGATTTCGCCGGCCTCGTATATGCGCCTTCTATCTTCTCTGCTATTATCCTCATCGGCTTTTGTTGGTCACCATTTCAGGATCATCCTCACCCTCCCCCTTCACTTCCACAATTTCCCGCGTTCAGTATCCATGGATTCCTCCGAAGGATCGCTGCGAAATGCCCTATCTCAGAAGCAGTCAGCTGTGGAAGCTCAAGGCAACGCGGTCCGCGCCCTCAAGGCTTCCGGTGCTGCCAAGCCGGAGATTGACGCGGCTATTGAAGCTTTGAATGCCTTGAAGCTCGACAAGGCTTCGATTGAGAAGCAGCTGCAGGCGGTTGTTTCTGGTGCTGGCGGCGATGGCGGCCTCAACAGGGAGTCTTTCCGTCAAGCTGTGGTTAACACTCTTGAGAGGCGCCTGTTTTACATTCCGTCGTTTAAGATTTACCGTGGGGTTGCTGGATTGTACGATTATGGTCCTCCGGGTTGCGCCGTCAAGTCGAATGTCCTTGCATTTTGGCGTCAGGTATACAAATTTAACTTGATATTGCGTTGATTATTCGTAATCGTTTTGTCGGAATTTGATTCTGAATTGTTATGAAGTGGATTCGACCCGTTGTTACTGCATGTATGGAATCGTGTTCAATAGTAACCAAACAGACTGTCTTAAAGGGGTTTTCTTTTCTTTCTTTTTGCAGCATTTTGTTCTTGAGGAGAATATGTTGGAAGTTGACTGCCCTTGTGTGACGCCAGAAGTTGTCCTGAAAGCATCTGGTCACGTGGATAAGTTCACCGACCTTATGGTCAAGGATGAGAAAACTGGGACCTGCTACCGTGCAGACCACTTGCTCAAGGATTATTGTAATGAAAAACTTCAGAAAGATCTTAGCATATCCGCTGAAAAGGCTGCAGAATTAAAGCATGTTCTCGCCGTTTTGGATGATCTTTCTTCTGAACAGCTGGGTGCAAAAATTAAGGAATATGGTATTACAGCTCCGGATACCAAGAATCCACTATCTGATCCTTATCCATTTAACTTAATGTTTCAAACATCCATAGGCCCATCGGGCTTGCTCCCTGGGTGAGTGTTTAATCCAAATTTACTTTCATTTTCATGAACTTCATTTCCTAATCAGTATGTTGTAAGAAGTTTTCTGTTGAAGTTATGACTCTTTGCCATTTAATTCATCATTTAAATATATATATATATATATATATATATATATATATATATATATATATATATATATATAGAAGAGAAAATGGTTGACTTTTTCTTCTCATGCCATGCCACCTTTTACATTAATTTGTTCTTATGTGACTCTTGTTCAATGCTATAAGTTATGTGATTAACTTAGATGTGAAAATATGTAAATGCTGCAGGTACATGCGCCCTGAAACAGCACAAGGCATATTTGTCAACTTCAAAGATTTGTATTATTACAATGGAAATAAACTGCCCTTTGCTGCAGCACAAATTGGTCAAGCTTTCAGAAATGAGGTTTTTTTTTACATTCTTAATCATATTTACGCATTACAAATGAGATTGTAGTATTGGAAGAATGGCCTGTATTTTAGTTTGTTTTGCATTTCCATGTCTTCTACTTAGTGGTTCTTTTGTGACTGTTGCTTCTGAAATGATTTTCTTGCTAGCACTTGTCCGAAGCTGATCTGTTTTGTTCCCTTTCCTGTAATCTCAATTCCCAGTCTATCTGTTTTACTACAGATATCTCCTCGTCAAGGGCTTCTTAGAGTTCGTGAATTCACACTAGCAGAGATCGAGCACTTTGTTGATCCCGAAGACAAATCTCATCCGAAATTTGCTGATGTTTCGAATTTGGAGTTTTTGATGTTTCCAAGGGAGGAGCAAATGTCTGGCAAATCTGCAAGAAAAATTCAATTGGGTGAAGCTGTTGCAAAGGTTTGTGTATTGACTATATCTACCTCCCTCCTTCTCACCACCGTGTCTCCTGTACCTCTTTTACTAGGTTGACATGTCACATTGTGATGCAGGGAACTGTAAATAATGAAACTCTAGGCTACTTCATTGGGAGAGTATATCTTTTCCTAACTCGCCTTGGCATAGACAAAGATCGTTTGCGTTTCCGTCAGCACCTTGCAAATGAAATGGCTCATTATGCAGCCGACTGTTGGGATGCTGAGATTGAATGTTCTTATGGTTGGATTGAATGTGTTGGTATTGCTGATAGATCTGCATATGATTTACACGCTCACTCGGTATGAATATGCCCAGAGCTTATCTTTTCCAAGTAATCGTAATTCCAGATTATATCTTTGATTTGATGGAAGAAATTTCAAAACTAGTTTAATCTTAAGAGTTTCCAGATTATGTCTTTGATTTGATGGGAGAAATTTCAAAACTAGTTTAATTTTAAGAGTTTCCAGATTATGTCTTTGATTTGATGGAAGAAATTTCAAAACTAGTTTAATTTTAAGAGTTTCCAGATTATGTCTTTGATTTGATGGAAGAAATTTCAAAACTAGTTTAATTTTAAGAGTTTAGTTAACTGTTCTATTGTTTGGTAGGAATTTATAAGATGGAAGTGTTTTATAGTTTCAGGTTGCATGTTAGACTAGACTCTCATGTTTTTCTTTTTCATCTCCTTTTAATAGGAAAAAAGCGGTGTTCCTCTTGTAGCACATGAGAAATTTGCAGAACCGAGAGAAGTTGAGGTACTGCTCGTCCTTGTTTTATCATTTGAGATTTGTAAGTGTCATGACAAAAAAGAATCTGTTTTAATGCTTTACTCATGAAATTAAATTCCAGAAATTGGTCATCGCTCCTGTTAAGAAAGAACTTGGCCTTGCATTCAAGGGAAGCCAAAAGAATGTGGTTGAAGCTTTGGAGGTAAATTATGGAATTTGTTCTGCCCGGGTTCTTATTTCATCTGTCACTTATCGAAAAACTGAAGTGGTTGTATTGCATTTTATTTTAGGCAATGAAGGAGAAGGAGGCTTTAGAAATGAAGGCAACTCTAGAATCCAATGGAGAGGTGGAGTTCTATGTCTGCACACTGGGGAAAAATGTCTTGATAAAGAAGAGCATGGTTGCAATTTCCAAGGAGAAAAAGAAGGAACATCAGCGGGTTTTCACACCATCTGTGATTGAGCCTTCTTTTGGTATTGGACGAATTATCTATTGCCTCTTTGAACACTCTTACTACTTGAGACCAAGCAAAGCTGGGGATGAGCAGTTAAATGTATTTAGATTTCCACCCCTTGTGGCACCTATCAAGTGCACGGTTTTCCCTCTTGTTCAGAATCAACAGTACGAGCAGGTTGCCAAAGTCATTTCGAAGTCGTTAACTGTAGCTGGTATTTCTCACAAAATTGACATTACAGGTATATGAACGAACTTTTAACTTTGTTTTGTTTTTCTTCTGGTGTAAAATTGACTTAAGTTCTAAGAAGTTGACTGACAGGTGAATGGAGGCTTGGAGATGAAATGCAAGAATTTCATGCTATATAAAATTGAAGCAACTATATTGATGCATATAATCATAAATTTAGATGAATCTAAGGGTTTTAGTATAACAAGTGGTGGTGGGTATTCAAACTTACAACCTCATGGTTGGAGATAGATGCCAATACCGTTGAGTTAAGCTCATGTTGGTGTATTATAAAAAAAATTATTGATTACCATTCTGTTTGTGAAAATCACTTCTCTTTTTATTGATAATGTTTGGTAAATTAGAAAACTAATTTTACGAAAGTTTAAAATCACTTTAAATTGATTTTCAAGGTATCAGCCAGTGATTTTGGAAAAGCAATTATACTTAAATCTTTTTTTACAATTCTACTGTCACTCCCAAACACCTTATATTGGTTTCTTCATAGTTTCTTTGACATGCTCTTTATTTTTTTAAAACTATTTGAATTCTTAGCAAAATTTTAAAACAAAAACAAGGTTATAGGACTACTTTTTAGTATTTTCAAAAAATTGTCTTAAATTTTGGAAACATTTTTAAGCACATGTTGAAACAAATAACAAAGCAAAGAAACACGAAGGTGGAACACAAAGGTAGAAGCGCTGCTAAAGTAGAAGTAGTTATAAGCTTAATTTTTAAAAAGGATAACAGAAAACAAAATTTTATCAAAAGGACCTTAATTCTGTGACAGATTTCTGTTCGATATTGAGGATGAATGATAATATTGTACTGTAGGTTTCTTGGTGGTTCATTTGTTACTTCCATTTTCTGTTTAAAACCATGGTTCTCATCTCATACTGATTATGTTTGTCATTTGCTATAAAAAATGTTAACAGGTACCTCAATAGGAAAACGATATGCACGAACAGATGAACTCGGTGTACCTTTTGCAATCACCGTCGATTCAGCATCTTCTGTGACGATTCGAGAGAGGGATAGCAAATTTCAAATTCGTGTCAACGTGGAAGAGGCAGCCTCGGTTGTGAAAGACGTTACCGATGGCCTTAGGACATGGGACGATGTATGGGCCTCATTTCCCCACCATGTCTCTGCATCTGCGGAAGATTGAATCAACTACATTTAGCAGGTTCTCCAGTTGAGTTTTTTTGCCATACATATCCATTTGGAAGAAACAGCATTGGGTGCATTTTTGTAGTTGATTGAAAAATCCTTCTTTTAATCTACAAAAGCATTTACTATGGATTATACCTGAAGATTCTCAATCTTGATGAAGGAGCAATTTTTACTGTGTTTAATCTAATGTAACACAGGCAGCTATTGCCGCTACTTGACAAACCTACAGCTTTAGCTGCTGGATCATTGTGCAAGTTACTTGAATTGAACATGTAAATCTTCCAAAGTGTGCCTTTTGGGGTTGAAATTTGGTAGGTTACTGTTTGATTTGATATTTTTTTAGTTTAACAACTGGGGAGTTGAGAATTGAGCTATTAACATTTGGTAGATAATAGGTACGTTATTCATTGAGCTAGGCTCGAAGGAGCAGTTTGATTCTATTTAAGGTTCCATTTTTAAACCAATATGTGGTTCGGTATTGGTTTCATGAATTTCTTTATTAAAAAAAAATCTCTATGATTTTTATTTTTTCCTTTTCTTTTGTGTGTGGCAATCATGCCTGCTAAGATTTATTGTTCACCTCCTATATTTCTTGACATCGTCACTGCCTATGCGGCAAAAATAGACAAATGCATAATATCTATTGTTTCTAAAGAGAGATATATTTGTTCTTATATTATTTAATTTAGTAATCAAGAGATGTTTTATGACAATAACCTCTACATAGATCAACTGATTAAGAATTAAGTTTGCTTTTTCGTTAAGAATTAAGTTTGCCTTTTCTTTTTTCTTTCTGATATATTAGTTTCGTTTGGATGGAGAATCAAGTCAATACTAAAAAAATACTACGGCCACATTCTTCAACTCAAGATATTTTTTTTTTCTTGTTAAACTTCATAGCTCATCCGAACCAAATATTTGATTGATTTTTTGAGCTCTCACAGAAAGAGAAAAAAAATAGTTTATTAATCAATTATTTATTGATATGACTTTGAAATGTTAGTCAAATTGCAGAAAAATTAAAATATTACTTCTCCTATCTCCTAATTCTTAATTTCACTAGAATTTAAAAAATAGATTAACACCAAGACCAACATAATTTAATGTGAATTAACTTTGAAAGATTCAATTAGTTAAGTTTTTACGTTTGTCTTTAACATTCTGCTTTCCCAAACCAAGGGCAGAGCAACACTCTATGGGCAAGTACGCTAAAAAGACCAAAAAGCCACTGCAACGTCACGACAAAACAAGCGAGAAGCAAGGACATAACAGGAAAAATAAGACAATTACACATTTACCCCTCACACGTGGCATTACGGAAGCTTAATTCCTACGGAAAGAGTTCAATTAAAGCGCCCAAAAAGCACCACTTAACCAATCCTCTCTCACATGCAGTTTTAACATCCCGTCTTCAATGGCGACCAAAACCGCTCCCTCCTCCGCCTCCGCCTCCCGCCTCTGCCTCTGTGCTCCGACCACCCATCCCGGCTCTTTCCGGTGCAGCCTCCACCGCCGTCCGCGTAAGGCCTCAGACAAATCCAAGGCCGCAGCCGCGAGCGGCGGCGTCGATTGGAACAAGACCGATCTCGTTAAGGCGTTTCTGATGCAGATCATCAAACCGTCGAGTCACGATCTCCAGAGGAGGAGGAATTTCCAGCCGAAACCCTCCCGATTCTGTAATGTCGGCTCCGGTGGATTGGCGGTTTCTTGATTTGGATCGTCAATCGCGTACGTAGTTAAGTGATCTTGATTAATTAGCGATCGTTTTCTCTTGTGTGTCTGTTTCTCCGAGGAAATTTTTTGTGCGTTGTACAGGGGAATCGAGAGCGATTGCGCCTTCACTTCTTTTTATGACGTGGTGGACGATGAATTCGCTTGTCGAATCGTAGAGTTTCTCTTTTTTGATCTTCAATTAATTTATTTAACTTTTAGGTTAGGATTATCTGAGACTGATCAGTTATTTTGTTTCTGTGTTGATTGAACTTAATTTTGTTTTTGTACATAATCAGCGAACGTCTCTTCTAAATAGTGAGCACGATTTGGCGTTCTTTTTCACTGGCAAGACGATGCTAGTCAATTTGAGTCTTGAATTTGACAAAATTTTGATGTTCTAAAACTTGTACTACTTCCATCTCTTCATTTTTCTTCATTTTTATTGGTACGTACAAGAGTTAGAAAGGTCATTATGCTCATTTCATTTCTTCTTTCTTTTAACATTGATGATTCAAAGTTGTTGAATGACGTTTTGATGTGATGCTGAGTCTCATGGGTATTTTGAATACTTAAATTTGATATATTGACTAGCCTCAAAAAAGGAAAAAAAAAAAAGTGTGGCCAAACATTATACCTAGACGCTATGTTTTAGTTAAACATTGTTTAATAATATCATAAATATCAAATCATGCAATGTTTAAAATCATCCTTTTTTATACAGATTTGTTATTTCTAAATATTCATTTTTTACTTATTTATACATTATTTTTCTACTAAGGAAAAATGTTACGAAAATTGGATGAAATTATTATTATTATTATGTCATGGTGAATATGTACATTATTTTGTCAATAAATAACATAAGAGAAAATTTGGTTTAAATCATTCGATTTTGGTTCATTTTAATCAATTTACTTTCAGGGTATATATTTCATTTTAGCTTTCTTTGACTTTTGAATTATCCATTTTGATTCATAAATTTTGAAAATCAATTTACTTTCAGGGTATATATTTCATTTTAGCTTTCTTTGACTTTTGAATTATCCATTTTGATTCATAAATTTTGAAAAGTGATTATTTTGGTCTCTTCATTTTAATTTTATATAATTTTTTTCTATTATAGTTTTAACATATACACTACCTACTAAATTTCTTCATTTTAATTTTATCTATTTTTTTATTATAGTTTTAATATATACACTACTTACTAAATTTACTAAATTTCTTGAAACTTAGCCATAAAAATAGTTTTTTTTTTTGTTGTGCAAGAAATTTATATTAATTTTTTTAAAATAAGAATCAAATCATTTATAAAAATACACATATTAAAAGTATACAAATTAAAATAAATAAAAGCACAAAGTACAAAGATATTAGTAAAAGTAAAATACTTGCTCCTTATTGCATCAATCTTCTTCTCATCACCATCGAATATTTGACGAGAAATGCAAATATTGAAAATTTGAGAACAAGATTTAATCCTTATTGATAAATAGTCAAGTATTTTTCATTAATAAATAGATCAAAATAAAGTATTTTAATCAGAAAATTATAAATTTTAAGGTATTCTTCATTAGTAAATAGAGCAAAATAAAGTATTTTAAGCAGAAAATTATAAATTTTAAAGTATTTTTTATTAGTAAATAGAGCAAAATAAAGTATTTTAACCAGAAAATTATAATAATTTTAATTGTCGGGTAAAAATTACGGACTAGATTTTGAGGAAATTTTGCTCGGGTCAAATCCTTTGCCGCGCCGCCTCAAGTAGCCGAAATTTTTCCCGATCTCCCTCCACCAGTGCCATAGTTTTTTGTTTTTTTGACGAGTAATCGGCGAAGAAAGCCGCTTCTTTCTCCAAATTTTCTGTGGTGAGGGTTACAGCGCCGCCCACTATGTTCGATGATACGCCGTCTTCTTTTTCACTTCCGCCGCATCTCCACTCTCCCAATAACGCAGGACAACCCCAAATCGTCAATCGTTTTCCAATGCAACAAATCAATCCTACAACTCACCAAACTCGGCCGACTCGCCGAGGCGCGACACGTCTTCGACTCAATGTCTCACCGGGATTCAGTCTCGTGGAACTCGATGATCGCTGGGTATGCGCAGAATGGACTTCTACACGTAGCGCAAGTGCTTTTCGATGCGTTTGGAGGGAAGAATGTGAGAACGTGGACGATTTTGCTGACGGGGTATGCGAGACATGGGCTTATACGCGAAGCTGGGATGATTTTTGAATCGATGCCGGAGCGGAATATTGTTTCTTGGAATGCAATGATCAGTGGGTATGTGCGAACTGGTGATTTGAGGACTGCGCGGAAGCTGTTCGACGAAATGCCCGAAAGAAATGTTGTGTCGTGGAATCAGATTATTACTGGGTATTGTCACTCCGGAATGGTTATTGAGGCTCGCGAGCTTTTTGATCGGATGGAGGAGCGGAATTCTGTATCGTGGATGGTTATGATATCTGGGTATGTAGAGATTGGTGAGTATCGGGAAGCGTGGCATCTGTTTTCTAGGATGTCGAGGAGTGGGGCGAGGCCTGATCAAGCAATATTTGTGGTTGCTTTCTCAACAGTTACTTGGTTGGATAATTTGGAGTTGCTCGAGAGTTTGAGAACAATGGCTGTAAAGACTGGATATGAGAGTGACGTTCTTGTGGGGACAGCGACTCTTAACGCTTATACAATGAATGGATGTTTAGAGCCTGCATATCGGTTCTTTGAGACAATGCCGGAGAAGAATGAATATTCGTGGACGACAATGATCTCAGCTTTCTCTCAGTGTGACAGACTAAATGACGCTATTGCATTGTATGAGAGAACATCTGAGAAAAGTGTTGCTGTTCAAACAGTGATTATCACTGCCTTTGCACAGAAGGGAAGGATTCAAGAGGCCAGAAATAAGTTTGAGGAGATTGTGAATCCAAATGTGGTTGCTTGGAATGCTATGGTTGCTGCATATGCGCACAATGGTATGCTTGATGAAGCGAAGGATACTTTTTTGAGAATGCCTGTGCGAAATGCCGTTTCCTGGGCCGCAATGATTGCGGGGCTTGCACAAAATGGACAAAGCATCGACGCTTTGGAGTTGTTTGCAGAACTCCACAGATCAGGTACTGTACCAAATCATTCAAGCTTCACTAGTGCTCTCTTTGCTTGTTCAAATATTGGATTTGTAAAGGTTGGCAGGCAGATTCACTCCCTCTCGATCAAAATGAGGTGCCAGTTTAATTTATTTGTGGGGAATGGATTGATCTCAATGTATGCAAAATGTAAGGGCATAAATGATGCTCCTCTGTTATTTAACACGATGAAAAATAAAGATACTGTATCTTGGAACTGTCTCATCAGCGGGTTTGTGGAGAACTGCATGTTGGATGAAGCACGGAAGATTTTTGAAGGGATGCCAGAACGTGATGTTGTGTCTTGGACTACCATTATATCAGGTTATGAGCAAACGGGCCATGAGGACGTTGCATTCATGTTGTTCCATGACATGCTTACTGTGGGGACGAAGCCAAACGAATCAACCATTTCCTCCCTTCTCTCTGCCTGTGCATCCCTCTGTACTACCAAGCTTGGGGAACAGATTCATGCATTGACATACAAACTTGGGCTAAATTCTTGTCTGTTTGTGTGTAATGCTCTCATAACAATGTATTTCAAGTGTGGCAGTCTAGAAGGCCTTTCAGTTTTCAAAGAGATGAGCAGTCGAGACACGGTTACTTGGAATGCAGTGTTAGTTGGTTGCGCACAGAATGGACTGGGGAAGGATGCCATTGCGATTTTCAAACAGATGGAAGCTGCAGGAGTTTTGCCCAATGAAATTACTTTCATTGGTGTTCTGAGTGCCTGTAGCCATACTGGATTAGTAGATGAAGGCTGGAAGTATTTTAGTTTCATGAATGATCATGGAATTACCCCATCAGTTAAGCACTATACATGCTTGGTTGAACTCCTTGGCCGGGCTGGAAAGCTTTCGGATGCCGAAGCTCTCATCGAAAACATGCCGGTAAATCAGGATTGTGTTATTTGGGAGGCACTCCTTGGCGCTTGTAGGATCCATGGTAATTTAGAACTTGCTAAAAAAGTTGCAGGAAGGCTACTTAACATGGGAACTGGCAGACCTGGAACCTATGTTATATTATCTAATGTCTACGCGTGCAAAGGCCAGTGGGAGAAGGTTGCAGAAGTCAGAAAAACGATGATAAACAAGGGGGTCACAAAAGAACCAGGAATTAGTTGGATTCAGATTAAGGGCAGGGTACACTTTTTTCTTACCAAGGACGATTCTCACGATGAAATCGGAGAGATTCATTCGTGCTTGAAGGCGTTGTTAAAACGTCTTACCACGGCTGGTTATGTGCCAGATACAAATTTTGTGCTTCATGATGTGGGAGACGAACAAAAACAAGATGAGCTTCTATATCATGGTGAGAAGCTTGCTGTTGCTTATGGGATCTTGTGCACGCCAAATGCGATGCCGATTAGAATCATGAAGAATCTTCGGATTTGTGGAGACTGTCATTCCTTCATGAAATTTGTCTCTCAAGTCACACAACGAAAGATCATCATAAGAGATGGGAATAGGTTCCACCATTTTCGTGATGGTTTATGTAACTGCGGGGATTACTGGTAAGTTGGATGTACAGAAGATGGAAATCCAAATTTAACTAGTGCCTTCAAACTCATTCTTTTATACCATTCTTGTATTTAACGGGGGTTTCGACAACGAGTTGATTGACAGATAAATGGAAGTTTCAACTCTGAGGAACAACCCTTTGCTATATTCTAATGCATCATGAATGTCAAAAAGCATACCTATGGTGAAGTTTTTGAGATACGGACTGAGGAAAACAACACCACACAGAAGAATTTGAGTCTTTTTATTTTCAATGTAATGTGCTTTCTGTATTGATAGAAGATCAGATTGTAAACCATATACATTTCAAATTGTATGATCAGAAAGAGTTTGCATTGAATAAAATTAAATTTACCTCCGAAGTGCTGAATCTTTCTCATTGTCCTTAAATGGGGATTCCATGAGTTGAAACATTGACCAGATAGAACTTAATTCCTTCCTATTTAAAAATGGACTTTTATAAGAGAGATTCAATACTGCAAAATTGCAGCAGCTTAATACAATGGCAAAACAATATCAACTTCTAGGTACAGAGTATATTATTGAAGAAAAAATTGACAGGGTTCCCCCTCACTAAATTATCTATGCAGTGCAGCTCGAGGGTAAGATGCAATACCCGAACGAGTTTTCTCCTGCAAAAGCTGATAACATAACTCCTTAGATAGTCCCATAATTCTCGAGCTATGCTGCCGCAAAACGAAACTATCCTTCTCATACCTCAAGTGATGTAATTTGCATATTAGTTCTCGAACTATGCAGGCGCCGCGCGCAAAGACATCACCAGATAAATCTAGCTCCTAACGTGAATTGACGAGTATTAAACAAAAGAATCTACTTTCGAATTACTTCGAAAACGGTTACTAGGACTGATTTCTCAAGCTGTAAATATTTCCAATCAGTCCAACAACACCAACAATGACAGCCAGCCCTAACATCAACCATGATAGGATCCTTTCTGTAGCATTCAAACTTCCCTGGCCACTCTGCTTGCTTAGCTTTAATGCAACAATTGATGGAAAAATGAAGCCCAGTGACACTGCTGTTGTTGCCCCTGTAAATTTGAAGGCCGTCCAGATGTTGGGAATCATGGTAGAACCAATATAAATCAGTGCCAATAACACGACTGTCAAGGCGAGAGACCTCTTCCTACTCTCTGGAAGGGGTGCCGATCCCTCAAATATCAAGGTGTCGACGGTCTGCCGTAAGGAGAAATGGATAACTGGAAAAACAAGAACTAAATGAAGAATGTAACCAATTCGAACAATGTAATTCAGCGCGGAGCTGAATCGAATTCCTAGGTCCCTATCAAAATTTGTCAGCACATCAGGCTCTGTATCCCGTCCAAAGAGTAAATAACCAGATATGGCAGTCAAAGCATAAACTACAATGCAGATCACAGTTGTGATCCTCCCCACCGCATTCATCTTCTGGGGAGACCTTGCTTCGAGCTCATTGTATATGGGCGGGACATTGAAATGACAGACATACGCATTGGTCATGATTGGAACCACCACAAGGAGATCTAAGATTGCCTGCTTGGATCCGAAATCGGGACTCATTCTCGGAGGCTCGATCAGTCCTTCTACAAGTTTAATTGACGCTATAGCACAAGCAACAATAACAAAGACAACTGCGAGAGCTACCGATGCAGCAGACGTCAAGCTCAAAGAGTCAATCTTGTTGAGGGCACAAAGGGGAGCTAGAAAAACTACCAACACAGCCAGAATCAGAAGCTTCCTATGGTCCCAGAAGCCATGCCCCAACCACTGATCAAAAACCCCAATATGATGAACAGAACCAGACATAACATCACCCATAATAATCAAATAAACAACCAATACACCAGCATTGTTCACAATTATACAGATTTCAGTCAGAACCCTCATGGATTTCCCAAATGCACACTGAACAACCTCCCCATACGACGAAGACTTGGAAATAACCAAAAATCTCACTAGCAATTCAACACTAAACTCAGACAAGATCCCAATCAAAACTATCATAACACACCCGAGAACCACACCAAGAACTTTCATGGTGGCAGGAAGAGCCATGATCCCGGCTCCAATAATCGAGGTCGTAAGATTAAAAACAGCCCCAGAAATGTGGGATCCGCCTCGAGCCTCCCCAGTGATGAGGGGATGGCTATCGACATCAAAATCAACATCATCGAAGAGATCATCCTTGCCATTGCCGTTGCCATCGACATATACATTCAATCTCTTGGATCCTACCAAACCTTCCTCGTCGAGGAAATAATCGGCACTCTTCGGGGCGGGCGATCTGGGGGTTTGGGATTGCAATTCTACATATCTGGTTCTACTATCCATTTCGATGCATAAACATTAGAAAATTTATGCAACAACACAGATCAAGGAAGAAAACAGCGTTGACATTTGCCAACCCAAGGAGGAAAACAATTGAGAAATTGATTAAAGAAAGGATAAAAACTTACTCCAACAAGAAAGGAATTGAATGGAAACTCCCCCTTTTTGCGATAAAATCAAACGGAAAATACCTAAATCTCAGGGTCAACGGTCTGTCGCCGTCTGTTTCCCGTCGTTGGCTGATCAAAATTGAAGAACGACGACAATCAAATTTTGAGGATCTGATCTGAGGGCTCTCTTAATTGTTATCAACAACAAATCGCCTTCAACATTTATTATATATAGTCGTAAATCAAAACAAAAAAAAACATTTAATATATAGTCTGATTTGGACTGTTAATCTGGAGAATGACGTGGCACGATCTTACTGGCTTTTATCCCCTCAAAGATATTGATGTATGATGAGATCCAAACTAATTCTTTTACTTTACCATTATTTTTTAATTCAACTAATGCATGAAAATTCAAACTTTTAATACATGGAAAATCGAACTTTCAATTTTAGAGTTTTGATCAACATTAACCTTTTTTTTTTAATTCAATTCAATGATATTACTAATTCAGCTACGTTAAAATTATTGATTTAACAGAAAATAACAATGAAAATGAAAAAATTATCTCATTAACCAACATTTTTTAGTGACATCATGAAATTTGAATCATTCCATCTGAATCATTCTCTCTCACAGTTATATATCATACGTCAATTAGGGATGGCAACAGGGCGGACGGGACGGGGGCAATCCCCATCCCCACCCCGTTGAGGATTTTTTCGCCCATCCGCGACCTCGTCCCCGAAATTTTGGGGGCGGGGATGGGTTCCCTTTTGTAATTTTTAAATTTAATTTAAAAATTTTTAATTAATTTTTGTTATTATTGGTATAAAAAGTGAACAAAAAGTTGCTAAATGAGGGGTTAACTTGCGTTTTTTTAAAAAAATTAAAAAGTATTTATAAAATTAATATATATTAATATTATTATATAAAACAATAGAAATAGTAATAAAAAATTAAACGGGGCGGGGGACCGATCCCTGTCTCCGCCCCCCATCCCCGTCGGGGAACCCGATTGGGATCCCCGATTTGACCCCGTCCTCGGTCAAACTGGGGAATCCCCGACCCCGATCAAGTCGGGTACCCGTGGAAATCGAGTCCCGCAGGTATTTTTACCATCCCTAACGCCAATATACCATTTTGCTTAAAAGAAAAATGAAGACTAAACAAAAAGACGAAGCCTTAACTAATTGAGCAATGCAGTGATTAACCCTTATTAAATCAAATCGAACTAAGAAGTTATGAAGATATAGTTTCAATAGGAGTGATATAATCTAATAAATGCAAAGAAAAATAAAAATGAAACCGAAGTTACAAGAATATATTAGTAGATGACTAAAATAGAAATTCATAAATTAAAGTAGAAGAGCATCCATTTCCAGTTTTGTACATGAACAGAGAAACCAAATAACTTAAAACTGCATTATTCACATTCTCTACTGCCTTAGCAGAGAAGATATTTACAAAAGTTTTCTTCTTTTCTTTTTTTCTTTTGTACCCATTTTTCTGCCATGGCTTGCAAGCTTCTACAATTCTTATTTCTTATCCAATGAACTAAGATTGAAAAGAAAGCTTTTTAGACTCCACTAAAAACACTTGGTCTCTTAAAGCTCATGGCAAAACAAATCCCAAAACCAAAACTATGTACAACAATTTAGAAAGGTCTTGCTGCCTGGATGATATTATTATTTACAAGTCTGCCTCTATGGCAGTTCGATCACAGGACGTCTTCTTCTTCTTCACGGCTACTCTGGGCGGAAGCTCACTAGGTTCGGGAGGTCGGTCGATTGAAGCTTCTTGATGTCGTTTGCTGAAACCCGGCAGGACTCCAGCGTCAACTGCTTTAAATTCTTCAGAGTTTTCAGATGCCGCAATCCTGCAGAGGTAACTCGCGAATTCGAAATGTTTAAAGAGACCAACTCTGTTAAACCTGCATCATACATGGGAGTATGAGACTTTAAGACATATATTCAGACATTTTAACCAACTTTCTCTAGGGAGAATGCATAATGTTCAACAATTTGTTTATCATAAGCTAGTGGATTTGTAAGTTTGTAACTAGAACTGGAATTTGGGTATTAAATGTTATGAGACAACAGAAGAGAATGCACAACAAAAGTAATAAAAGACTGTTGCTAAATTTAACATGAAGTACCGGAAATTAACTCCAAGGTTTTATCAGTCAGATTGCAATTTTGTGATAGATTGAGCACCATCAGGGAAGACAGGTCTTTGATGTTCTTGACACCAGCATCAGTCAATCCTCCACCACATATTTCCAGGGACTGTAGGTTCTTAAAGTCTGGTAAACAAAATACAATGAGAATGAAGTGGAGATCTCATAGATCAAAAACATCCCATGACAAATAAATCTCATATTTAAATGGTAATTAATCAATAAAACTACCTTCAAAGAAGTAATGATAAAGCTCAATATTAGTTAAAAAGGATATAGATGGCTTCTGGTTTTTCTGTAGGTGTGAATTCATTTAGGAACTCCTAAAAAACTGCTAAGAGATTACCATACGTTGAGTACTCCGCTAACCTAAACTTTTAAACTTTTCGAGGTTTCGCGAGTCAAATATCGTAATAGTTCAATCATGAAACAGAGTGAATTTTACTGTGTATTTGCACATACTTCGCAAATAGTTTGTTCCGGAGTCGGTAATACGAGCTCCGAAGAGATCCAGATGAGTCAATCCTACTAAACCTGCAGAAGAGGAATAAAAAGGCCAATCATACAAAACAGGAACTACAAAAGACCTCAATAATCAAAGCATCCTTCTAAGCATATTTACCAGTTAGGGAAGCAAGTCCGATGTCTGTAACTTGGCGAGCATCCAAATTTAGAGATTTTAGAGATGAGAGTCCAGACAACCTTTTTAAACCAACGTCTGTAACTATGGTGAATGAGAGATTTAATTTCTCCAGATTAAGCAAACCTACAACATAACGGATTGATGGTTGTAAAAGCCAAACTTAACAAAGTTTAGATGATACTGGAAAGTCAGAACAAAATGAAGGCAAATTATCATTTATTTCTTTTAATAGTGGCATCCGATGAATCTTGCAGCCTGACCTGTCAAGAGAAACCACATTTTCAACATTTATAACTTACAGAAATTAATGAGGACACCATACTCATGAACCTTTATTCAATCAAATTTAAATGGGAAGACATAAATAACATTCCCTTCTACTTTTTCTTTGACCAACAGAAATCCACCAACTTTTTCCTGTTTATAGGGCCAAATAATTGAGACACCATCAGACAGTTCCTACAAGATTCTGGACCTGTAATTCTTGGTTGAATCTAACAACCTTAACCACTTAACCCAACTTTCAGCAGTTAACTTTTGTTTTCCATATATTTAATTGTTTCTCAAATGATTTTTCAAATTTCTATCTAGAATCCAATATTAACTAAAACTCATTATGTTTCATTACAAAAAAGTACTGCATAAGATCTGCTAGGTTCATTCAAAATGAATTGACCAGACATTAAATGAGAAAATAAATATCCAAAAAACGAGGTAAACTTCTTTGTGAGTGCTAGAAAAATAAAATAAAAAAGAAAAAATAGTATACTGTCAGGATAATATCTAACCAGAAAGATGACGTAGACCATTGCTTCCAACATCAGTGTCAGACAACTCCAAACATTTTAAACGGCGGAGTGCTGTAACAAGCACTCAATAAAGTTATGAGAGAATTTCAGCAACTAACAAAATACAAAAAAGACACAGAAGATAAAAAGAAGCCATAGGGATTGCACTAGGGACAGAACTATAAGCAGAAATATCTGTCGTTAATGGTGAGATGTACTAGACTAGACAACATGAAGTTTAAACACGCTGTAAAATTAGGTATAAAGCATAAAATTAATAGGTCAGGAGCAAGGTAATTCAAATTGTGATGGACCATCTAACTTGCTACTTATTGTACTAAACTGCAGTGATGCATACTAACTTGTGCTAATTAAAATTGAGAAATCGAAAACTAAGAAAAGGAACCAGAAGCATGAAACCCTAAGCAATTCATCTTTAATAACACGTTGAAGAGGAAAATTCATAAACAAATAGTTTACAAATGACCATTTTTGAGAACTCCAGCCAACAGTCTGCACCAACGTCAGTGAATCCTTTTACATGAATAATTAAGGCAAGAACATATTGTAAAATGGGGTTGCCAAGAATGACTGTTCTAATGGGAATTGTCATTATCAAAAATAGTTTATGACATAATATATTGCCAAGATAAACTACAGTTATTGTACTGGTAGTGAAAATTCCATCACTGACCCTGCAAACTTGAGGTCAGGAGTTTGCGGCTACAGGATTTACTAAGGAAAAGTAAACAACTTCAGTTGATGTAAAATCTTCAAAAAATAAAAGAGAGAAAAAATTGCAACAATGCCCAAGAGAGATGTTCGAAGTTAAATAAAATGTTCACCTTTCAAATTAACCAGCCCATCATCCTCAATCCTGCATGAATCCAAGTTCAAGCTTTCCAAATTTGTTAGACCTGCTTCGTTGACAATTTCATAAATTTAAAAAGTACATATATTTACATTTATAAAGACGAGCGCAAAAGAATGACTTGCAATATGATTTCTTGGTACATTCTTCTTTTACCTTTATGGACTTAGCACCATTACATGGTAACTTCGTCCAGTACAGAAAAAAAAATCAAACAGCTATTCTTGCAGCTTTATTGTCATTAAGAAAATAACAAATGAGGCAATAAAAGAGAGGTCAAAAAGGATTCAGATAGTAACCCACCTTTCAAGTGAACCAAACAATCATCTGTTATGTCATTGAACCCCAAGTTCAATACTTTCAAGGCCCCAAGCCCTGTAGAAAAAGCAGTTCGTCATAAGTACGATTGCTCATACATTAGCACAGCGAAAACATAAAGGCTGAGGCAGCTATTTCATGACATGAATCTTTTAGAAACTTACTAGAAAATTTCTCACTCCCTTCATCAGTTATATGACATCTGCTAAGATTCAAATATTGTAGGGCACCCAAAGCTGACCAAAAGATCACCCAAGTTAACTACGATATAATGAACTTAACATAATACATATTTTGGCTTTCCTTCCAATACTGAAAATAAATTTATAAACAAAGGATGCAGTGTCTATTGTTGACTTGTATTATATTGATCAAATATGTCGTGTAGAAACTTCAAAAATAGATGTCGTGTAGAAACTTCAAAAATAGACCAACTCAAATTCATTTTACATTATAAATTACTAGTACCCTAAAAAGGCTAGGTATATGTCAAGAATAATAACCTGACAGAGTGTTCAAACAAGAAGCTGTAACTGGACAACCCTCTAAATTCAATAGTGAAAGTTTGTGCAGTCCTGCAATTCAAAAAAATGTAATTCACACCACCATTTATAGAACCAAAGCCATAAGGCCAAGCAAAACAAATATAATGGATAACCCGTTATAGAGATTATAGAACATTTGGGATCAGATCGATGAATAGTTACCCTTCAGGAAATAGTTAATATGCCATCACATAAATCAAAAGGAATAGAACATGAGACAAGAATATGTAAGCACTGTGAATGTAAAAACACCCTTATATTTGGCATGTGAATAAAAATAAAGGGGATACGATAACTCCTACCTTTCAAGAATGCAATACCAGTATCTGTAACCTTACTGCAAGAAATTTGTAATGCTGTCAAATTTGTTAGGCCTGGAGGGTGAAAGAAATAATCATTTACAACATGAAAATATGGAAACAAAAGGTTGACGGACAATTTTAATCATAAAGCGAACACCACATTTAAACAAAGTTATTTTAAAAATATAGCAACTGCAATGCTGCAAATGAACCTCAACGTATGCAAACTCATAAGAATTAACATCTACGAGCAATTGCAGTTGAACAGAGATTTACATCAATATATAAAAAGAGAACCTATGTTTAACCAAGTAGAGATGAAGATTCATAAGGAAACCAATCTAAGCAAATCACTCGTTTGTATTTTGCTTAAATAAGCAAGAACTGGAACCGTAAACCAATATATCTACTACACCTAATAGACAGTAAACTTGTCATTACCGGCGAGAGGCTTCATATCAGCATCTGTGATGCAGTTACACCATTTTATATTGAGAGACTCCAACTTTTTTAATCCTGAGAAATTGTAAATATCAAAATCATGAGCCAGATATTCATGTTATTGAAAAGCCCACAAATCTGATAATTGATTCCTCAACATTTTCAAGCTGGAATCACAGTGCTCCAAAACTAACATTCGATAGTCAAAAGAACACTTCAACTAGTAGAATGGTAGACATTACCTTGGAGGTGAATAAGTCCGCCATGAATGCCAGGACATTTCTCTAGGTCTAATCTGATCAAGTTAACAAGATGGGCAAAGACACTCATCCCTTGAGCAGTAATTTCATTGTTTCTCCTAAAACTTAAACTTGTCAACCTCGAGAAGCCTGAAAGATATACCCATGGTTATACAAAGAGCCCGAAAAAAGCCCCTCATAGAGGTCTCCTGTCAGCTATGTCAAAATGAGAATGCGATTGAAAATAATCAGGTATATACCTCCAATATGCTCCAGCCCTCGATCTGATATATGTCCACAGAAGTTTAAATTTAAGGATTGGAGATTTGAGCAATTCCTGAGGTGCATCAATCCATCATCAGTTACATCTGAGCCAGAAAGATCCACAGAAAGTACGGAAGATCCTTGTGAAGAGATGACATCTATCCAAGCATCGTTCACCCCTGGACATTCTCCAAAGTGAAGATCCTGAAAGTACACAGAAGTATCCCTTGCTTTATATCAATTTAACTGGTATGAAAAGGGGAAAATATTAACTAGGACAGAACGCCAACTGATGAAACAGTTGACTCTTGGTTACCTGGAGAGAACAGTCTCGAAAAGCTTCAATTGAAATATCGTTTAAACGCTGGGAGTACACCAGTTCATTAAGGATCAGCTGAGTAATATCCCTTGGGAGCATGCCGAAGTTTTCATATCTATCAATATCCTATTAGCAGAATGTGAACAAATAAATTAGCCATGATATAGTAAGACGACTACCACACGAACAGCAGAAAACTAACATCACACAAAGAGGCAGTGAAAAAACTAAGCACCTTGCATATTCTCCGGATGCCCAAGTCCAAAAGAGAAGGGCATTTCCCTCTTCCAGGTTCAATGTCCATAAAAGGTCGAGAAAATGAAGTTGTCAACCACTTGGAACTCCCACTTTTGCAATATTTTCCAGATACTCCTCTGGGCAAACTATAATCATGATCTTGCTGGTCTCTCTTCCTAGAACAAGCTCCCCCCATTGAGAAGTTATCCCGTAATCAATATATGTCATAAAAACTTCAGCAGAACACTATTGTAACCCATGCAATAACCAAAAAAGGAACATATGCACGTTACTTCCCCCTGCCAGAAATAGAGCATAGCAGACTAAATTCATTAATCTTGATAAAAGATCTCCAATTGAAAGCATGACTATAAGAAAGCTCAATACATTGCAACTTGATGAATTATAGTAAGGCTAGCTGCCACAAAACATGATTATACTCATCTGGTGTTTCTAAACATAGCAGGATTTTTTGTTGTTATAAGCAAAATAACAACAAGTTTCCAGATATTTCCACACCGAAAAGTGTCATGTCATATCCAAACTCAACAGAAAAGGCTAAAACACGCTGTGGACTTTTCTTCATCACGAAAATACAGAAAAATTCGCAGGTTCAAGCTCACGCGGTGGCCAATAGTGAAGAAGAGAGAAAAAAAAAACCCCCGAAAACTGAATGAGAAAATTAACAAGAACGTCAAAACCATTAAAAGATGGAGTAAAACAAGAGGAAACCCCTGATCGCAACCTTGCTTTGAGAAAGAATTTTCATTTTCAACATAATATAAGAAAAAAGAAAATGATCCCTCCACCCCACCAACGAAAAAAGGGAAAATAAAAAACTTGTCAAAAGCAACTGATCAACAGAAAACGAACAAGGGAAAAAAAAACCATCTCCGATTGCAAGAACAGAACACGATCATACCTGAACATGATCAGATTGAATAAATTATCTGAAAAACAAACGATTCTCAGAAGAAGTTATATGAAAGCAGATTTTTTTTCCTTCATTCTTCTCCTTTGGGAGTGGGGAGCTACAGAGGGAAGAGTGAAGGAGGAGGGGCCGGAAAAAGAGAGGAAAAAAGTGCGAGGTGTCACGTAGCCGAGCCGAAGTCCGAAGCAACGGATGATGGACACGTGTAACTTTGTGGCTCGGGGTTAGGTGTGCTTCGGATGACGAGATAAGAAGGCAAAAGAGAGGCGCCGGTGTGTGGGTCCCACTCTGGAAAATTTTGGGGAGATTTTTTCCTTTTTTCTGGCTTTATATTATATTTTTATAATCTGTACTCGACTTTATCCATTCGAGTGTGGGCCCACTGAGGTGGCTTCTGGATATTGGCCACGCAACGTTTTTGGTTCTTGGATTAATTAATTCAGGTTATATTACAAAAATAATAAATAAATATTCATAAAATTTAGCATTTTGTTTAAAAAATACTTCTATTAGTTTAATACTTTTTCGTAAACGTTCAACAATAATCTTTAAGCATTATTATAATTTAGAACAATGTGACAATTAACATAGAAACTTACTTGAATTGTCTATCAATTTTACACTAAAAGTTTGCAACTCTATTATTTACTCAATTTTTTTAATATCTTTTTTAAAATCGATAACTTCTTTAACATTTTCGTTAATTTTCTATTCAAAATGTTAATATATATTTATTTAATATTTTTAAGAACTCATGACCTATTAATCAGAGATATGTGTCTTAACCACTCGAACTAATGTTGAAACTTTTTAAATGTTAAAAGAATATTTTTATAAATAACATGGTGGTGTTTTTTGTAATTTAGCCATCAATTTACCACTAATAAGAAACTTTTATAAGCTAGTGGGAGATTTTTTTTTCTTTTAGTTTTGATCTCCTGCGGTCGAGTCTATTGTAGAAAGATGGGTTTGTTTTTTGTTTTGACTTTAGCTGGTCTCATTCTCATTGGATTGTCAATTGCGTCAAGTAAAGTATCTAATGAATGAAAATATAGAAAAATTATTTTAAATTACTCGATTAAAAAATTAATTTTTTCTTTTATATAGAAAGATTAAGATTTGTTTGTTTAAAAATTTTTGTATGGAATAGATGTTTGCTAGCAATTAATAAACTTTTGTAATTAGAAGATACAAATTAATAATTGACCTGAACTATTTTAATTTTAATTTTGGAATCTAAAAACAATTAAATATTAATGATAAATACTAACGTAATTAAAAAAATCAAATTTAAATACTACAAAAACACACTAAATTTTTAATTTGACTTTATTTTTCAGGTCCTTTTTGTTTCGTTTCATTGAAATATCTATACTTTATATTATTTTTATCTTAAAATTATAGTGGTTTTTTTTTCCTTTTCAAGAAATTTGATGGATTTCGTTGTTTTATAGTTTTCAGTGCATAAAGGTAGAAAATGACCTTTTTGGCCTGTTGAAATATGTCTTATTCCATTAATAAATTATTAAGGGAATAATAAAATAATAATTGTAATTTGTGAGAAGGACATCGGTCCAATCACATTGGTTGATTTCGGGTCCACTTAACATATCACAACTGATGAAAAAATGCATATTGCCAATGTGGGGTTATTATTGTTTTTTTTAAAGTTGTTTGAAAATATATATATATTATTTTGTTGGGTCTACTTTTAGTTTTTTCAGTACAACAATATGCGGGGGCCGGGGTTCAAATATATGACCTCTTAGTTGACAATATCTGATCCAAGATTTTATGTTAGTTTAAAGTTTCGAAGTCGTTCAAAGCATGATTAGACAGACTGAGTAAGCTTAAAACAACGACCAGACAATATTTCATGATGGAAAAGTGTATACAAAATATACACTCTTTAATACAAACTTTACGACTATTTTCAAGAAATTTAGTTTGTAGATTGTCATGTTAAAATTATGATTGAAATAAATAAGATAAAAATGAATAATTAAAACAGTCTTTTTTAAAAGTACAGAAACCAAAATAGATATTTTAATTTTAAAATTAAAGAAATCAAAAAAAAAATAAAAGTATGACAAAAATACTATTTAAAGGAAAAAAGAAATATGTACCATTTGTAAATGAAAAAATAATAATAATTGGTTTTTATAAGTATTTTTAATCTTCTAATCAAATAAATAAGTACTAATGCCTACTGTTACTTGCCTTCTTAAAGTTGGTATTTCTTTGTGTTGTTAGAGGGTTTAATAGTAAAATGATTCAGTCAGAAATTAGGATTGAATTTCCTTTTCATTTTTCAATACCCATGAATAAACTCGAAATTAAATTTAAGGGGAAGTCATTTAGTTGGTATATGGAATTTCAAAATGTTGATTTCAATCTTTTGACTTCTAGGCCTGTTTCATTTTGGTATCTGAATTTTTAAAATATTTATTCTTTTTCGTCTTCATCTTTGTTTTGCTATTAACAAAATTAATAATATAATTTCAAGTATGTATACTAATATGTTAAGGCGAGCATCTGTTCAAACTACAAAGATTCTTAGACAATTATTGATGAGTATAAGTAGGCAAAATAATATCGCAATTTTTTTTTAAAGTTCATAGACCATAAAAAATATCATAACCAAAATAAATATTTCAAATCATTATAGACTAAAACTAAACAATTTTATTTTAATTTTTACGATAGCGACCCAACAAAGCTACTATTGTTGTTGAAAAGTGTTTGAAATTCTATTAGTAATAATGTGGATATACTCCCTTGCATACTTATAATGATTTTTGCTAAATATATTCACTAGTATGAACAAATTTCAAAACCTCACCTTATATTTACAATTTTGCTTAGATTTTTGTTAGGTATCTCTTGGTTCAAAATTTCTATGGAATATTTGAAAAAGAAAAATCTAATATTTCAAAAAAAAAAAATATATATATATATATTTTATAAATTAGGTAGGTACAAAATACATGATTTGTCTTTCTATTAGCTAAACAATGATATAAAGTTGCGTTTAAAAAAATGATACAATATCGAAATATATTAAATAAAAGTTTAAAGATATAACTGAAATTAAAATTTACGGATTGATTTGCTCAAATTTTAAAGAGAATATTTTGAAGCTTAACCGGAAAATATTAATTATTAAATTGACATAACTTAATTATCATTTGGAAATCAAATATACGTATAATATTTGAATAAAAACAAACGGAAGAAAAATACAATTTTCATGAACTTGGAGGTTTATTAAATTTTATTACAAACTTAGACTCCAGTGTTAACATTCTTACCTTTTTTAGTTTGTGATAAATTAACCTACTAATTTAAAAATCTCACTCGTTTCCACAGGTACAAAATCGAACTACCAATATACAGGATGAACGGTTGAATAGGTCGATTAAAAGTTACATGTTTCAAACACGAATCTAATAAATTTAGTGTCATTTTTTCTTAGGTCCCATCAATTACTTAATATAAATATGTCTTATAATTCATTAAATGAAATTGAGATATTTTCTTGAACAATTCGTCGAACGAAACTCATTAAAAGAACAAAATTGCTTATACAAGTTTAACATAAAATTGCAACACTACCCGTTTCATTCAATGAAAATGAAAGTTTAATATAAAATTTGAGACTTGCGAAATTGAGATATTTTTTTGGAGGGCACAATTAATATTAAATGGAGAGTAAATGACAAAATTGAAGCTTCTGCTACCATCTTAATCATGTTAAATTATTGATGAATCTCAAGCTTAAACTAATTAGTTTAGTTTATAGAATATGTAATGCATATTTTGGTATTGTAAGCAAAATCAGTAATTTAATTTAACTAATATTTTTCTATGAAAAAAACTAATAATAAATTTGTAAAAATCAAATAATTATCTATAGCAGATTGTAAAAATCAGATTTCTTAATTCGATACTAATTTATTTTATATATAAAAAAAGAATAAAAAATCGATACTAATTGCTCCACTGCCTGCTGATCGACGGCGTTACACCAGAACTTCAGGAGACCCCAAAACCGCGTCGCTTGTTTCCGCCGACTAGGGCGGCCGCCGATTTCCTCCTCAGAAACCCTCTCGCCGGCGCCGACCAAGCTCGCTCTGTGTCTCGGATATTCATATCACTTTCTCCGTTTTGTTATTGTCCGATTCCTGAGAACGAAGAAGAAGAAGAGGAGTGATCTGCTCCCCTTGTAAAAGGTTCGAGTAAATTATAGCATTTTTTGCCTTTCGATACTGTTTGTGGGTCTTATTATCGAGTCATTTGACTATGAAGCTCTTCGTTTCATTTATTTGATTTCAAATCCGTCTCTGGGTTGCTCTAACTGAAAAGGGGATTTGTATTTCGATGACCTTAATCGGAATCTAGCATTGACGAATCCAATTCGAGAGGCTTGTTCTTGTTTGTAATTGTAATCTACATTTGGGTTTTGTCGCTTAGCGATTTGTAAGTGTTACCTGCGTGTAATACTTCATTTGGGATAGAAAATTTCACGATTTCTAGGGCTAGGGTTAGCTGCGACGTGCTTCGGGATGAATTTCTTACACTTATTTTACTATTTTTTGGTGTAGAGAGGGGATTCTGCGATGGATGTGCAAATGAAGGACGAAAAGAACATAGAGGAGGAAGATGAATATGTTGAATATGTTCCTGTGGCAAAGCGTAGAGCATTGGAAGCTCAAAAGATTCTTATGCGCAAGGGAAAGGCTTCTGCTCTTGAGGAAGAGTTGGAGAAGTCAAGGCTTGCTGAAGCCAAGCCCAGTCTCCTTATAAAGGCATCTCAGATGAAGCGTGACCAGCCCGAGGTCAGTCCGACCGAGCAGATTGTTCAGCAAGAAAAGGAGATGATTGAGCACTTATCTGATCGAAAAACTCTAATGTCTGTTCGGGAACTAGCAAAAGGAATAACTTACACGGAGCCACTGTTAACTGGATGGAAGCCACCATTGCCTATCAGGAGGATGTCGAGAAAGGCGTGTGATTTGATTCGCAAACAATGGCACATAATAGTTGATGGTGATGATATTCCACCGCCAATTAAAAACTTCAAGGACATGAGACTGCCAGAACCAATTTTGAAGAAGTTGAAAGAAAAGGGAATTGTGCAGCCTACTCCCATTCAGGTCCAAGGTCTTCCTGTGATTTTATCTGGCAGAGATATGATCGGGATTGCATTTACGGGCTCGGGAAAGACCCTGGTTTTTGTTCTTCCTTTAATAATGATTGCACTACAAGAAGAGGTCATGATGCCCATAGTTTCAGGAGAAGGGCCTTTCGGTTTGATTATTTGCCCTTCAAGGGAGCTTGCAAGACAGACTTATGAAGTGGTCGAACAGTTTTTAATTCCCATGAAGGAGGCTGGATATCCAGAACTAAGGCCTTTACTTTGTATTGGTGGAGTGGATATGAGATCACAAATCGAGGTGGTGAAGAAGGGTGTTCATATTGTTGTTGCAACTCCTGGGAGGTTGAAGGATATGTTGGCAAAAAAGAAAATGAACCTTGACAATTGCAGGTAAAAGATTTTCTCCATTTTCTATCTCATCATTTGGGTTGGACTCTCTGAAAAGAAAACTGAAATGGACTCATCAATGATAGCAAGAAGTAATGAAGGTTTTTGATAATGTTCGTATGTTTTGTGGAAATTGTTATTTGTTTGGCAAAGAAAAATCCATGCTTGATTGCATCCTCTAGGATCTTTTCCCCTAAAGTTATTTTTGATTATTTGTTGTTAAGCCTCTACTCATTTCCCATTACTTCAGATGATGCAAATTGATGATTGTTGTTTTAACCTTCTGACTTTAGTGGTTCTCCTCTTGGTTGGGAATAATGATATACCAATTTTTCTATTGCCACAGGTATCTTACTTTAGACGAGGCTGATAGATTAGTGGATCTGGGATTTGAAGACGATATTAGGGAAGTTTTTGATCATTTCAAGGCTCAACGCCAAACTCTCTTATTCTCTGCTACAATGCCTACCAAAATTCAAAATTTTGCAAGAAGTGCCCTGGTAAAGCCTGTAACCGTCAATGTGGGAAGAGCTGGAGCTGCAAACCTTGACGTCATCCAGGAAGTCGAGTATGTGAAACAAGAGGCAAAAATTGTTTACTTGCTTGAGTGCCTTCAGAAAACTCCACCTCCGGTGTTGATATTTTGCGAGAACAAAGCCGATGTTGACGACATCCATGAGTACCTCCTCTTGAAAGGTGTGGAAGCAGTGGCAATTCATGGAGGGAAAGATCAGGAAGAGAGAGAGTATGCTATATCATCCTTCAAGGCGGGAAAGAAAGATGTATTGGTTGCAACTGACGTTGCATCAAAGGGTTTAGATTTCCCAGACATTCAACATGTTATCAACTATGACATGCCAGCCGAAATTGAGAACTATGTCCATCGGATTGGTCGAACTGGACGGTGTGGTAAGACGGGAATTGCAACAACTTTCATAAACAAGAATCAAAGCGAAACGACTCTCCTCGATTTGAAACACCTTCTGCAAGAAGCAAAACAGAGGATTCCACCAGTGTTGGCCGAGCTGAATGACCCGATGGAGGATGTGGAAGCGATCACGAACGCAAGTGGGGTCAAAGGTTGTGCTTACTGTGGTGGACTTGGTCACCGTATCCGTGACTGCCCCAAATTAGAGCATCAAAAAAGCATGGCAATTGCCAGTTCTAGAAGAGATTACTTTGGATCAGGTGGTTATAGAGGAGAAATTTGAGAAAGCTAAGAACAGAGTAAGAATCTTTTTGTTTGATTTCCCATTTTGCTCTCCGCGGATTGTAACTGTATAAACTGATAAATTAGTATAAGGTTAATTGTTCCAATGAAATCAGTAATTAACTTGGTGGATATGGAATGGAATTTGTTGTTTTGCCTGCGTTGACATTTGTGAGTGTGTCATTGCTTCCATCTCAGGGACAATGACAGACGATTAAGACTCAATGTTGGTTAACCTCAAAATAATAAATCATTAATTGACATTATTGACAGTCTTTACAAATATGAAAAAGAAGAGGGTCTTCTTTGGAAATGGAGTATAAAAACTGTCTTCCGTTACAATTTTCTGTCACAGAGATGAACTGAACTGAAGCGGATGTGAGCATTCTGGTCCAAGTTCTGAAAGGAACTTTGTGTTAAACTTTTTCTCTGAAGGTAAATTTGAAGGTCCAGCTTAACAGATCAACAACTAGTCAACTGGAACTTCTACATCCATTTTTATACCTGAATTACCAAGAACCTGCGAAATAATGAAGAGTATAAAGCTTGATAAATCAAGAACCGCACAAAAACTTACAAGTTGCTCAGTAGTTTCATGAACTTTTTTCAGATTACTACTTTCATGAAAGGCTAGAGAAGTTTATGTTGGTTTCTTCTCTCTTTATAGTACGCTAAAGCAGCAAAATACGTCATGTCGTTAAAAGTACCTTATTGAAGTCGTCGAGTGTTAAGTGAGAGTTTCTTGTATAGCCTGCTTCTTGTAATAGTTGGCACAAGACTTGCTGCAAGAGAAAGAGGAGAGAAATTATTGTACTCCTGATCTATCCTAATTCCTAACAGATAAGTTCATTTATGAAGGTGAAATGAATAATATGAGCACGTATTTTCCTTTCGATCAGCGTAAATTCAGTTGATGTATATGCTCAAGCAGGCATATCATCATCAACGAATCAACCTTGATTCTAACGATGCACCTAATGGATTAATATCTTAGAGGCTTTATTAGCTATGTATTGATGCTAATGAATTACATTGCAATCTCAGATAACAGTAAGTTGGAATGGCAATGAAATAGAAAACTAAGGGAAGGAGGAGGCCATACCTCTCGCTGCTCATCGGAGATGAACGGACCGGACAAATCACGGAGCACTTCAATGATGTCGTCGAAAGACACCTTCCCATTGCAATCCGCATCATATACCTTGAAAATAACTGAAATAAAGAGACACTAGCAACTATCAGTAAGGAATAACTATCTTAAAGTGAGCTTTCTACAGTGACAGTATGACAGGAACTCTTTGATAGGGCATTTCAAAAGTTTGACAGCTTTTGAGTAGAAAGAGTGTATGACAAGTTCTCCCGTTCCTTATATTACATGGCTGACCTTAAAATTAAACTACACAACTGAGAACCAAAAAAATAATTGGCAGGGATCTGTGATGTTTCAAATAAGAATTAATTTTCAACTAGAACCATTGACAAAACCGGAAGAAAATGAGCATGCAGCAGAAATACAAGAACTTACATTCAATCTTATGGTGCGTACTAGCTTTAGCACTGAATGCTGACAAAAAAGCCACAAAATCCTTAAAATTCAAACCATCAACCATCTTGAGCAGCCGCTGAAGAAAACAATAGAACAAAGACCATAAGTCACCATTGATATTTTCAAAGTTCAACAAGAAAAAGTTTCAATATAAACCTGAGAAAGTGGATTCATTGCGAATTCAGGAACTGATAGGAATTCATCAGCTGAAATGAACCCCTTGGCACTTCTATCAAGTTGGCAGAATCTCTGATATAAGGACACTATTTCCTGTTGGGAGACTATTACACAGCCAAAAGATAAGAGAAAGTAAGGCAACTAAATCAAACACAAATATAAATAAAGACATCAATCAAGGCAAGAATAAAATTAACCCACAAAGTTTATTGCAGTGTTCTTGAACTTCTTCAATATCATATTGAGTGAGCATCGATGAGGCATTCCCCATGAGTTCTCAATCCAAAACCCCAAATGATGCTACGAAACCGATCTGATGAAACGAGGAAAAGAAACCCACAAAAACCCATCAATCAATCTTCAAATACCGAGACAGAATCAGAACAGAACAGGAAATACCCTCAATTTTAATGGGTAAACTGAAATTCAAACGATTATGTTTCATATATTCAGACAAATTGGAAGGATTCTCAGAGCAGACCTGAAAACCAGAGCTGATCTGAGAATGGCCGATCCCAAATTGGGTTTCTTTTACTTACCCGCAGCAGATTTAGAACCAACCCGGATGAAGATTTCACCTGGACATCATCGAGACGCTAAAAAGTAGACATAAATTTGAGACCCCTTTTTTTGTAGTCATCGAAGGCGACGAAGAAATCCCCTTTGATCCTATCCTATGAGAATCAAGGGCATCGCTAATCTAGATGCTAATTTCGTTAGGAGTAGGAATTTGTTGGTGAAATTTTGTGAATTTATATGTGGGTTGGTAAAAAATTAAAACTGGATTACGAAAAGCACGAAAATTTACAGAATTTTGTTGAATTTGTGAATGGAGGAACTTCAGGGCTACTGTACTCTTTGAACCGTGATGATGTTAGGTTTGGTGAGGGAACGAATTATAACCACTTTATTTGTCATTTAATTTGAATTGATTAACTTAAGAACAACAATGAATTGTTTAATAATTACTCCAAGTTAGTTATTAATTAATTTCTTGGTTAGATTAGAAATTAAAATTGAGAACTATATACATAAATTACTTAACCAGGCCAGGTTGATAGGATTTAGCCAAATTTAAAACTAACAAAGTTGTCTTTTATAGGATTCAATTTTTGTTTGTGTAAATTTAACTAATACTTCAAAGGTTTTATAGTCTATAAATTTTCACAATTATTTTGGTGGAGGGATATGGTTTACCATATGAGAATCTTATAAGTTTAAAAAATGATTTAAAATAGTCTCTGTCATTGGTTTTTTCTTTTAGATATATAAATTTTTTATTTTTATTTTGTGAGTGTTGGGCTGGAAAGAAGTTCAAACGAAATTTGTTAGGAAAATGAGCATGGTATACGAGTGATGACAATTATCTTTATTGTTATGAAACCTTTTAGAGTTATTGTCAGAGAACATATAAGTTTGTCCATCAACAATTTGAATGTGGAGTGATTCTTCGTAAACTTTTAGCTTATAAACGGTGAAATTCAGTCTTTAGATGAATCAAGTATCTAGAGGAGTGATATTCAAACTATTGCTCATGAGTTTTTCTCTATTTAATTTATGCACGTGAGAAGAGAATGGAATATGATCGTCCATAGTTAATGTTTTAATTGATGTGATCTTAAAAAACACTCGAAAATAAAATCTTGCAAAAAAAAAGAGTTAGCACTTCGAAAATCTTGTCAACACAGGACGTGAATAAATTCAATATAAGTTTTTAATCTCAAAGTTCGCGTACTTTCTGATCTTTTTAACTTAAGAGGTCATTTGTTTCGTCGAAAATTGAGATTCCCGTTGGACGGGCACATGGATTTCCAAATTTGTTTTGCGGGAATGTAAGATACTTGTCAATCTTAAGATGCTTGAGTATCCTAGGATGAAAAAACGGGAGACATTGAGTTTTGGATGCTCTTTTGAAACATGAGTTTCCAAGATTCTCGTATCGAGGGCATCTACTTTTTACATTTTTGTTCTTCATTTTTTTTCCATATATTTTCTTTCGTCAATTTTTTTAAATTTTCTTCTCAAAAAAATTATTTTTTTATTTTTAAATTTATAATTAAAATAAATTAATGTTCTCATCATCTAATAAACAACTTTATGAAAGTATGTTTGTACATTAGATTTATATGTAAAATAAATTGTAATTAAATTATATAATATCTCCATTTATTTTTTATATTTGGAAGGAATTACATTATTTTAAAATTAATAATTTTTTATGATCAATATACCTGTGATATTTTTCTTTCTTAAGAACATTTTTGGAACCTTCTACCAATATTTTCGAAGGGATGGAGGTTTGAACTCTTGAACTCTTGGTCAGAGATATGTTTTAACCACTTGCACGATTTGACCGTTTTTATCAATTTAGTTGCGGAGACTTCTTCTTTTTCATGAATTTTGTGGTGGTTTGATTTTCCGATATTTCTGTATCCCATGCGACTTTTACTTTTTTTTATTTTTTATTTTTAGTACCCCTTGTGACTTCTAATTCTTAATTTAATAGAATTTGTTTAAGAAAAATAAAGTTTTTACAAATGACCGTTGTGGATTTCAAAACCAAATTAATAATTAGGTAGGCCAATTATAAAAAAAAAGATAAAAAAATCACTAAAAAAATTTATTTAATCATTAATGTTAACATATTGGATCTTAATTATTCTTTTACCACGTATATTATGTTATAAATTAATTATAATTATTGTCCCATATCAGTGAGCTTACAAGTATTAGATGAGATGAAATTATCCATTTTAGGATATCTGATCCGTCGAACCATGCTTGAATTGACCAAAACACGAACTATTAATACTAAAGCAATCAAAGAAGAAATATCGTTACAAAGAAACTATCAAATTTTATCCACTGAACCATGCTTGAGTTGACCAAAATATGAACTATTAATACCAAGTCAATCAAAGAAGAAATAAACATTATAGAGATTTGAATTCAATCGTCTCCATTATTGTTGTATCGAATATGTGACATGTAACTTAGGTAACAAATTAAAAATTGGATTTTAGGTTGATTAAAAAAAAATCATGGAATTATTTCAAATCAAGAGGTAAATCTAAATATAATGGAAGTTGATGAATCAAATGGAAAGGACATTACCTTAAGAAATGCTCGAAATAAAAGAGCTGGGTTTTGAAAACGAGTGTCATGGAGATTTGGGCCCATAGGCCTATCTCTATATATTGTACTAAAAAAAGTTTTTTGATTTTGATTTTGTTTTTGTTTTTTTTCCTTTTTGTTGGATGATACAAAAGAGTTTGAAACTGAATCTTAATGAGATTTGGAGTTAGTGTCCATTTGGTCTATAACATTTCAAAAGTGACACTTTAGTACTCGAAGTTTAAGAAATAGTTCTAAATAAGCATTTTCTTAGTGGAAAAACTAATCTTCGAATTGAGATGATTGAATTCCCAACTCCAATTGTTCAACCTGCATTTCAAAATATTCTAACTCACTCTAATATCGTTCCTGCTCAATAACAACCCACCAAAAACCTAAGTATATATTGTACTAAATAAAAAAAAAAAGAAGACCTAACTATATATTAAATGCCAAGTTCTAAAAAGTCATAGATTTGGTTGGGAGGAGAAATTGTGAGATAGTAATCCATTTTCAAGTTTAAAACCCAATTTGAGTCAAAAGTAGGTGCAATATTTCACGAGAGACAAATGAATCAATCATTCAACATCTTACATCATAACCTTATTCTCTACAATAACCTAATTAAAATGACTTTTCTTTTTTTTCTTCCAAAACATATGTAAAGAGAAAACTTCCACATGAGGAAGAATATTAAGATTCTCCAATAAATATTTAATAATATATATTTTTTAAGATAGCAGTAGTTACTAATTAAATATTCAGTTCAATCTAAATATTATTGATTAATTTATTGACATATTTATTATAAATTTTGTATAATTATTATTTTACAATATTATATAATTTATAATACATTGTATTTTCAATATTATAATTTTAACAAAAATAAAATGAATTTATAACTTTATCAAAGTTTGTATTTTTTTTTAGTGTAATTTTATATTTTAAAATTTAAAATTTGGAAACACTGTAAATGTAAATATAAAAAATGTCGTTCCTAGAATTTCCATTATTTGGATCATAAAATTCATAAAGAATTTTAAAAAATAAATCAGCCAAACGCATATTCAATAAATTAGTTTGATTTAGTTAATCTAATAAACAATCAATCAATTTTCTCAATTGGACTCATTAATTTTGTCTACTTCGACATGCTTTAATTGTCGCATATAGTTTTTAATTAACATAATCAATATGAGTTAACAGTAAATATTTATAAACTAATTCATATAGTTTTTTTTTTCAAAAAAATATTTAATTTTTCCCTAAAATGGTAAATTTAAATCCTCGCGTTTTCACTTTTGTTGTACTAAATCGAACTCATGGCACAGCGCCACAGCGGTGGGGTTGGAAGTCCAAGTCCTACCATCAAAAGTCAAAGTCAACACTTCGAAAATGTCGCCGGATGCCACGTGGAAGGTTGAATATTCCGACGTCGTTTTGGATAAAGATAATTGCGGAGGCCAAAGTTGTCTTTTTCGTGACGTAAGCCTGATGGTGATGGATCCACTTCGTACTCTCCGTCAAGGTCAAATCCGTGATTCTCAATTAAAGTTCCACTTTATATATAAAATTCCTTTATTTCTCTATTTTTCATTTTTGAAAATAACAAAGCCAATATTAATAATTCGTTTGTCCTTTTATCATCGAAAAGAAAATAAAGAGAGAAAACAAGATGGAGAATGGAGATGTTATAACTTAACCACAGAAAATTTAAAATAAAATTGTTGTTGGTTTTTCTAGACATTTAAAATAAAATTTGTTAATGAATATGGTAACGTTTTTATAATTCTTACTTTAATCTTTTCTTGGTTCATAAATTGCATATCTAATATCAAAATTAAAATAGCATAATTTCTGACTAAAATTTATTTTCTACAAATTAGTTTTAAGTAGGTAATAGAAAACAAAATTGATTATGAATGCATATTAATTTTTTTTAAGTAAAACGGAGAAGACGTCATCGTGTTTTTAAAATCCCTTTTTTATTCTTTAAAATTTTTTTTAGAAACTCAATTTGTATTTAAAAATTCAAACACGAATCTTTTTTTGTTAGAGATTTGCGGTGGATAAAGAGAGAAAAAAAATCTTTAACTTATCCAATGGACCATCTTTTTTCCTTTTCGTTTTTTTTAATGTAATTTAAAAAGAACAAAAAAGAATAAGATGGTTCTAAATTCTAAAATTCGTGAAAAAATGAGATTTTTTCTTTAATAGAGAAAAACATGAGATAGTTTTTGCCAAATGAAAAGAAAAATAGAGGCGGGACGGATTAATTTAATTAGTCTGTTAATTTTAGAGTTTAGTCTTTATAATATTAGAAGATTTTTTAGTAAAATTTTATAAAATTGCCAATATCAACTCAACATAGTAATGATTGACATTTGCCTGATATGAATTCGAACCTCCATATCATTTGTTAAAAAAAAATCATAAAATTTTCTTAATATTTTTTTAAGAGAATTTTCCTTATCATTTTAAATTTACGTACCAAAATTGAAGAAACTAACTGTGTCAATTGTATTAGAATATAGAGTTGAATAAAAAAAATAATATACCATTGTTTAGACAAAAAAATAGGATAACTAAATCATAAGAACGGCCATTGAAAAAACTAAATCATAAAATAAATTTGAAACTAGTAAAATCAAAGATTAAATTAAATTAAATCAATAATTTAAATAAAAGCCTGACCTAAGCAAAGCATATATAGATAATTCGAAGGTTTAAATTGATGTTCCAGTTTAACAGATTATAGATAATTCTTGGAGAAAAACAAAAAAGGAAATACTACGGCTTAGGTAAAATAAATGGACAGCTAAATCGTATTCAATATTAAATTATAATCAGGTTATTATTAAAAAGAAAAAAGAAAAATTAATTTGGTGCTATTTTTATCCATATGTTGGGAAATCGAAATCAATTTATTACATTTTTAGCATTATCTTCTCAATCAAACCACCAATTTCTACAATAAAGGATCCGCCATGAATCAGGAGTGGAAAGTCGTAGCGATCCCTATTTAGGTTCCGTCTTCTCGATCTCAAATTTTCTCAGATTGAAGAATTAGGTTAAAATTGGGAACTGAAGATTTGAAGAAGGCGAAACGAAGAGAATGGCGAAGCCAGAGGATGTTTTTGTTGGCTCGATTGATCAAGGAACCTCCAGCACCAGATTCATCATCTATGATCGCAATTCTCGAGCTATTGGATCTCACCAGGTCGAGTTCACTCAGTTCTACCCTGAAGCCGAGTGAGTTGCTGCTCAGTACTACTGAATACTCCTTCTATTTTCGCTCGATTTCTCTCTTTTGAATCTGATTTGATCGCAGATGGGTGGAGCATGATCCGGTGGAAATTATGGAGAGCGTGAAGGTGTGCATGGCCAAAGCCGTAGATAAGGCCACCGCCGCGGGTCACAATGTGGATAATGGGTTGAAGGCGATTGGTTTGACGAATCAGAGAGAGACAACTCTGGTATGGAGCAAATCTACTGGCTCTCCCCTGTATAGAGCCATCGTTTGGATGGATGTTCGTACTAGTTCTATTTGCAGGTACCCTGTTTTTCCCCTCTAACTGTGTTATTCATTTGAAACTCTGGCATCTAGCGGATTGATATCAATTCATTGGGGTTTGTTTAGATTATGAGTTTTTGATCAATTCCATTTGCAGTAAGATAGTGTAATTTAGGATTCAGTTGTATGTTTCTTGAACCACAATGGATTTAGGAGGATATGTTTTGAATCTGTTTTTATTTTGATATGGTAGGAAATTGGAGAAGGAATTATCTGGGGGGAGAACTCATTTTGTGAATACTTGTGGTCTGCCCATAAGCACCTATTTTAGTGCAATGAAGTTGCTTTGGCTGATGGAAAACGTGGAGGATGTTAGAGAAAGTGTAAAGAAGGGAGATGCTCTATTTGGAACCATAGATACTTGGTTAATATGGAACTTAACTGGCGGTGTTAAAGGAGGATTACATGTGACAGATGTTTCGAATGCATCTCGAACAATGTTGATGAACCTCAAGACTCTTGATTGGGACAAACCCACATTGGAAACACTAGGAATACCTGCACAAATCTTGCCTAAGATTGTTAGCAACTCTGAGGTTATTGGAAAAATTTCCCAAGGTTGGCCAATCACTGGTGTTCCCATTTCAGGATGTTTGGGCGATCAACATGCTGCAACGCTTGGTCAAGCTTGTAGGAAAGGTGAGGCTAAGAGTACATATGGAACAGGTGCTTTTATACTTCTCAACACAGGGGAAGAAGTTGTTCAGTCCAAGCATGGCCTTCTGACCACTTTGGCATTCAAGCTTGGCCGTGATGCTCCAACAAATTATGCTCTCGAAGGCTCTATCGCCATTGCAGGAGCTGCAGTTCAGTGGCTTAGAGACAGTCTTGGGATTATTAGCAGTGCTAAGGAGATCGAGGAATTGGCATCACAGGTTAAGTCCACTGGTGGGGTTTATTTCGTACCTGCCTTTAATGGGTTGTTTGCTCCGTGGTGGCGAGACGATGCTCGCGGAGTCTGTATTGGGATCAAGAGGTTTACAAGCAAGGCTCATATTGCTCGAGCCGTGCTTGAGAGTATGTGTTTTCAAGTGAAAGATGTTTTGGATTCGATGCAAAAAGATAGTGGAGATAAGGGCGAGGACAAGAATAAGAAAGGAGAATTCGTGCTCAGAGTGGATGGTGGTGCTACTGTCAACAATCTTCTAATGCAAATTCAGGTTTGGGATTTCTGTTTCATTTTGTACGTGATACAATTTGAAGTAGTTTGTGTATCTTTATCGTTGGTGTCATTTTTGTAGGCGGATTTGTTGGGAAGTCCGGTGGTGAGACCGGCCGACATTGAAACGACGGCCCTTGGGGCAGCGTATGCGGCGGGATTAGCTGTCGGAGTTTGGACGGAAGCCGAGATTTTTGGGTCAGGAGAAAGAGTTAAGTCTGCAACCACTTTCAAACCTGCATTAGAAGATGAGTTGAGGAAGAAGAAGGTGGAGTCATGGTCCAAAGCTGTTTCAAGGACCTTTGATTTAGCAGATCTCTCTCTTTGATGCGTCATCTTCAACCTTATATTACATATATATCGTCTTCTCTGCTTCTTCGTTTCTTGTACAATTTATTTATATGCATGTCCAAGAATTACAGTCACCCACGATACATTTAAATTAAGTGAATAATATTGTGGAATAAATTTCCTCACTAGCTACTATTGGATTCATGTCATGTGTGATTAGTTTGTATTCAGATGGCTTGGATTTCAAGGCTTCAAGGTTTTCATGCATGTAAATCAGCCTAAAACAATTTAATCTACCACACTCATTTTTATGTACTTTTGCATCTAACTGTGAACAAATTAGAAAAGGAAGGCAAGCGACTAAGAAATTACATAACCTCATCACTCTAATCAAAGTAATCAAACACACCAAGAAGAAAGCTAGCATTTCAGTGACTGATTTCTCAAGTCTGACACAACAGTGGAAGAATATATTTCAAATACACTTGCAAAAATAAGAACAACAATCTTCAATAAAATAAAACCATGTCTCACGCCATTGAGGGTTGATGTACAGAACTACGACAAATCCCATAAGTATGGTAAAATAGGAGGTAACAAAACTCCAACGAAATGCTTCTATATCAACGAACGCTTCATGTTCTTTTCCCAACTTTATAGATGGATTGTCTGGTAGTAAAATAGGGCTTGAACATTTTTGTTCGATATATGACCCACAAAGATGAGAGTTACCATAATAGCTGCTTGCAGGATATGTTGAGAAGTGTGGCGATGTAGGGATCATACCCGACAAATTATTGTATGACACATTGAAGATGGCAAGAGAATTGAGTCCAGCTAGTTCTGAAGGGATGTTTCCACTCAAAAAGTTATTGGAAAGATCCAAGCTCTCCAATTCTTTTAAGTTGGAGATTTCCTTTGGTATAGGTCCGGCCAACTTATTGTGCGAAAAATTCAAGGCATGAATCTGTGGTAAGTCTCCAATTTCCAGTGGAATATTCCCTGTTAGTTGATTACATGATAGATCAAGACCAGACATATATTCTAGAATATTACCCTTGTAAGTGTCAAACCTACTTTTGGTAGTAAAGTCCACTTCGATCAGCCCCATAATATTCAAGGTTATTTCTTCTAGGGAATATCTGTGATAACTTCCAAAATACGTAGGTAGAATACCAACATTAGGAATTTTAGGATTTTCTACTTTTAGAATAGTCGAATACTCACTCCCCTTTATTGTCCCAAATGTCATATTATTTAAGCACGAAGGTATTGATCCACTGAGTTTATTATTTGAAAAATCTATAATACTCAATTCTTCACCTTGACATAATTGTCGAGGAATTGAACCTTGTAATTGATTCATCTTCAACAAGAGAACTCGTAGGCTCGTAAGTTTGTGAATCCAATCAGGAACAGGTCCTGAAAAATGGTTGTAGCTGAGATCAAGAACTTTCAACTTTGAACCATTTGAAAATGCCTGTGGTATATGCCCTGAGAGGAAATTCTCTTGCATGTATAAGTAAACCAACGATGAAGAGTTGAGGCAAGAGGGCACACCAAATAATTTATTTTGAGAGACATCCAAGAACCGAAGTTCACGAAGAGAACAAATTCCGCCAGGAAGTTCACCTTCAAATAGATTTTTTGATATTCGAAGAAATTGAAGATTTGTCAAACTCCCAATCCAGTTGGGAACTTTCCCTGAAATCATATTGTTGGATATGTCCACCGCAACCAAATTTGCACTATTGTTCCAACCATACTCGATGTTTCCACTAAAGTTATTATTTGCAAGTAGCAAACATTGTAGATGAGACATATTATTGAAAATAGAAATTTTCAAATTTCCAGAAAATTTGTTATCCGATGTATCCAAGTAGAATAGGTCTTTCATTTGTTCTACAGAAGAAGGAAGATTACCTTCAAAGCTATTGCTTGATATATTGAAGTAAGAAACTCCAGGGAGAAAGAGACCAACATTACTGGGTAGTTCACCATTAAAATTGTTGTCAGAAATTTGCAGATACTTCAAATTCTGTTTCCAAGTGGGGAATTGAAGAGTTCCTGTAAGTAAGTTGCTACTCAAATCTAAGACCAACAATCCAGAGTTGTTGAGTAACAACCAAAGAGGAAATGTTCCAACCAATTGGTTATGAGAAAGGTCAATGAAGTTCAAACTTGACTGTGATAATAGAAAACTAGGAATCTTGGATGTAGTTTTCTTATTAAGTTCACAGTTTTTTAGTATAAGGATCTCCAACTGAAACATGGGTACCCAATAAGATTTTTCAGTATCCACTTGTGTTTTCGATAGCTTAAGAAACTTGAGATTCGTGGAGTTAGCCAAAGAGGATAATAAGAATGGACCTTCGAAGTCATTTTCAACCAGAGATAAGTACATAATTGATGTGAGGTTGCTAATGGTGGTTGGAATTTTTCCACTGAATTGGTTAGATGAGATATCAAGATATTGAAGCTTAGTAAAGTTTCCGACACATTGTGATAATTGACCTCTAATATGATTATTCTGAATCCGCAACTCATAAAGACTGTTTGTTTCACAAAATCCTGCACGATAAAATATGAAAAGTTTCAAATGTTATTGCCTTCGAATCACACCAGATTATGAATAGGGTGTGGAGATTCCATATAAATGAATTATATTTTCTTTAATGAATTATATCATTGGGATGTATGTCATTCATATCTTTTTTATATATTATATTTACTAAATTTTATTTTAAATAAAAATAAAAATGAGTCAAAGTGAGTTACATATCTCGAGCGGTGAATCTCACACCATAGAATGTTGCCAAACTAACTCGAAATATTTTGTTGTTTTATAATTTGATTTTGTAGATTTTAAGAGCAAATAAAAAAGAAAAGCAACAATGAAAATTAAGAATTGAAATTCTGTGGTTCTCAATTGTAAGAGCAATTACCTTGTATTGGCATGGAGCCATTGAATTGATTATATTTTAGGTCCAGCACCGACAAGTTCTTCAAATCTGTTTGCCATTTCATATATTTGTTATATGAAATTGATAAGATCAAGTAAAAAATATATATATAACCAAAAAGAGAGTGAAAAAATGAACTCTTTGCCATAAAATTGAAATGGAGAGATCATATTTACCTTGTAAGGGTATTGCTCCATCATAATAATGGTTGTGGGACAGATCCAACATCTCCAAGATTTTTAATTGTGCAATATCTGGCCAATCAAATACTCAAATAATTATATTATATATAAAAAATTTAAAACAAAACATGAAGGGGAAGGGCAAGAGAATCTTCTGTTTAGGTTCATTCAATCAAATGAGTTGAGTGAATTTGTTGTCAGAACAGAGTTTTAAATCTCGATGTCGAGGAAGATATCGATAAAATGTCGTTGTCAATAGATATTTGTTAAGGATCCCACATTGAAAAAAAAAACACCTTACAATGGTTTAAAATATACACGAGCTAGTCCTCTCATAGCCAATTGATTTTGAGATGGATCTACTCCTCCCATAGCAATTGGGTTTGAGATGGAACCCCGTGAATATTCATAATAAGTTAAAAATGATTATATGTTGTACTCAATAAAATAGCATCCCGTTTTCATACCATAATATTTTGAATATTATAATAAACTAACCTTGGGTAGGAATGATGCCTCCAAGATCATTACAACAAAGTAACAAATTCCTTAACGATGTAAGTTCCCTCATAGACGAAAAAATACTATTGTTAAGCTTATTTCCATGTAGAAACAAAGTCTCCAATCTTTCCAATCCTATACCAAAGATCAAACAAATTGCTTCAATGAATCATTATATATAATAACTTCAAATTATAAAAAAATTAAACTCGTCATGATAAAATTAATACTACCTAAACATCCATTTCTTACTTAAACTAAGAACGTAATCTCGAGATGAGATTAAATTGTTTTAATTTGAATTGAGGAAATGTTGAATAAAGAAAATGAATTAATGAAATTTAGAGAGATTATAAATACCTAATAGTTAAATTAAATTTGAATCATTATAATAACATAACATTAAATCTTCTAATTAAAGATGTACAAAAACATGATTCAAACTAATTTCTTAAATGAAATCATGGTATAGTGGAAAAAAATTCTACATGTAATTAAGAGTATTGATTTTATTTAACTTGATTTTGTATATTAATATATATCTTTTCTAGAGTACAACAAATTTTTAAGTATTGAGATTTGAACACACAATCTTTTAATTATTGGAGGTAAGTATCTTAACCAAATGATCAACTATACTGAGGTTTGCGGATAATTGAGTATGTTAAAGTTTGCTTTAATTTGATATCGATGAAGTAGATGAAATTTTGAAATCATATTAATTTGGACAAAAAGAATATTCTTTAATGATTTTTAAAATTGAAAGTAAGATCCAGGAATTCCATTTTTTTGGGATATTACAATATTGGATAATTGAATAAAAGAAAAAGGTTAGAACTGTGATATAAAATTGAAAAAACTATTTAAAATAGATGTATGCATGAGAATAAATTTGGTATAATCCAAGAGTTCAAATTCTTTAAAACTAATAGTGAAGATTGAGTCCTAAAAGGGGCAATTGCTATTTAATTACCTTGCATTTGTACCGTACCGTTCAAGTTATTCATACTTAGATCTAATTCTCTCAAGTTTTTCAAACCTATGTTGACAACAACACAAAAAAGAACAATGAACTATGTTAGTTTGAATTATAATTATCTCCAACTTGTTCAGACTCGAGACTGCATTGAATCCTGAGGAAAAAAAATAAAAAAATTTTCGTTACTTAAAAATAAATTATATAGCAATATTTTTATGAAAGTTTAATCCACGAGTTAAATTGAGAGGAGTAAGCTAATAAATATATATACATACCTTATAAATCAGCAAACCAAAGATAATACTTTTGAAAGGGTTTTTTTTTTTTTTGACAATAAATTCATAAGATAAGTTAAAAAACTTCGAAATATAATATGAAAAAACATTCAAAATATTCAAATATTCAAATTTGCCAATTAAATATTCAAGTAATAAACTGCAAAATAAAATGATAAAAGAAAAAAAAGGACATTGAGAGTAAGTGCATCATTAAACTCTTCATACATTCATATAAATTTCGATGATTATCAATTTAAGTATAATAATATAAGAGAATGGATAATATATATATATATATATATAAAAGAGAATAAATAAACACTATCTTTTCGCTTAAAAAAAAAAAGAAAGAAAAACTATCTTCACCAATTGGGTTTAATTTTGTGAGTTTGAAGTAAATACAATGATCTATGATTGATGGAGGATAAAATTGGAACTACATATACATCACCGTGGAGGGGAACTATCCATATAATTCTTCGAACTAGTTGTCAACGGTGTCAAACAATCCGTTTGACAATTGTATCAATATTTTATGGGTTCCATCTCAAAATTGTTGGGATAATGGAACTAAAACAGATGACCCGTATTGATTTTCAACTGTTTTCCTACTGATATTGAGATATTTGACCTTTTATAAATAGAACCACTTTATTAAGGTTTCATTTTTATAGAATTTCAAATAAGAGCGACTTGAGTGGTTGTGGGCAATGTGTGAAAAAAGAGTCTGTAGGTTTAGTAAGGACATTTTCAATTGTGAAATGGTACACATTGTGAGGTACTTAGAGTAATATAGTAATATATTGAGTGAGATCTCCATTATAATATTCCCAACTATATAGTAAAACCTGTTCCCAAGATAGGGTTAATCCTTTGGTGTTAAACTTTTCCATCCCTATCTCTTATCCGTTTGTTATTGTTACTTAATTATTTACTTTTAATATGTGGAAGGGGAAAATCAAATAGTTCCGATTTGTTGAAGAACTTACGAGATGATCGTTCCAACAAAAACCAATTGGTTATGAAAGATAGTCGATGGCTATTAAATTGCTCAATTAGACCACTATCCACTTTACTGGTTGACTCACAGCATGGTTGTTCAGGACATACACCGATTGAGAGAACTCACAAGGAGCCTAATGGTTGACAGCTAATAAAGCTACTTACAATAAATAAATAATGCAGCAAAAAAAAAGAAAAGAAAAGAATAGCTATATATAGAATATTCCAATTTCTCAATATTATAGTACCTGGGAATTGAATAAAACGAAGATAGGTTCTTTTAAAAAAAACCACATGATAAAGTGGAAAATCTATTTAAAATAAATGTAAAAAAATAGATTTGGTATAATCCAAGAATTGAATTAGTTTATTTTCGAATTTAAAGTAATAATCTTTTAAAAAAATTAAATGGTAAGCATGATCCAACTTTGATCTCAATGCTAAAATAAATGTTCAATCAACTAACCGGATAAATTGATAGACCCTCCCAAACCAGCCTGGCCAAGCAACAATGTGTCCAATGATGTAAGTCCATTGAAGGATGAAACTAGCTCACTCCCCAAGTAATTTCCCCTCAGATTTAAAGTCTCTAATTTGTTCAAATTTGGAAATTTTTTTGAATCCTAAAGGGAAGGAAAATAATTTAATCATTATGCTAATCATGTAATAAAATCAACATGGGTAAATTGAAAGAAGTGTTGGAACGTACCTTGATTGTCAGTGATACCAGAGAACATATTATTAGATAAGTCGAGAGTTTTTAATTCTTTAAAATTTTGGAATAGAGAAACATTCAACCGTGGAGGGTTCAAATCACGATAATCTAACAAGAGGTTGAGCAAGAGCTCCACAACATGGGCACCAGAAGTGAGATTATTACAACGAACTCGATCCCAATTGCAACAATTAGCTCCAACCCAAGAAGCAAATGGATTCGCAGAGAATTGGTTGATTTTGTGGGATGAAAAGAAGGACTTGATATCTAACAAACCCAGTCTTTCATCTTCAAGGCACCCATTGGATACCTGTATAGAATCACCAAGAACAATTAAACTCACTATTAGTAACAAGTATTTCACCTTAAACTTGGACTCCATTCTCAAAAACATCAAATTATGAGGCTTTTCTTCGTTTGTTAAGTTATCAAATTATTTCTCCATTTATATACAAGATCCCAAACCTACCTTAAACTATGTCAATAATTAGCAACTTTCATAGATGTCCACATAAAAGCTAAGATACTTGGATCAACTTTCTTTTTCTCTTTGAAAAAAGTATTTCAACAAAATAAAGAAAGACTAAGATTTTTGAATTAACAATGACAAAGAAATATTTCAACAAAATAAAGAAAGACTAAGATTTTTGAATTAACAATGACAAAGAAATATAATATAATGATCACTTGACTTGACTTGAAAAGTGATCAAATTATCATTTTCTTTTGTGATATGATTGTTTTTGGAGGATGATAACTAGCTAAAGATTTTAAGGTCTAAGAATTTAGGGGCATGTTTGCTATATATGCAAATTCAAATTGATTTTTTTTTTTCAAATTTAACGAATCATTCAGTAAATTGTTTCGCAAATTTGTTTTGAAAATTGTTTTTTAAAATTATTTTCAAATTTTGAATTTGAAACTTTAGGATGAAGAATTACATTTAAAAAAATAAAGACTTTGATAAATATATTATTTAATGTTATAAATTCATTTCTTTTTTTATAAAATTAAAATATTAAAATACAATATATTATAAATTATATAATATCGTAAAATAATAATTCTACCAAATTTATAACAAAAGTGTTAATCCATTAATTAATATTATTCTCGATTTAATTAAATACTCGATTACTATTATTAGTTTACAAATATATTATTACATGTCTCAGTGTTTGTATTTTCCCGTGGAAGGATTTGTGCATGGAAATGCAATAAATTTATTATCTTTTTCATTAATTAATGCCCCCATTGCCTGAACTTTTGTTAATGAATTTTATATGTAAATTTAATTTTATTAAACGAATAATTCCTTTATATATGTTTGACAAAGTTGGATATAACTCAAATGGTTGAAACACCTATTTTCAATGAAGAGTTCGAGTCCTTACTTCTACTTTTTCTATTAAAAAAAATTGTTATTTTTAATTTCCTTTTATAACTTATATTAAATGAACAATCCTTTTAAATGAATTATGTTAAAACAAAATATTTAAACTTAGAATTTGCAGGTCTATTTCATAAGCATCTAGAATTCTTACTAGACAAACACGACCTACTTTATGATTTAATATTAAATCACATAATTATTTTTCATTAAATGTGATTTAAATTTGTCATAAAGTATAAACAAGTGGGTGGGTGAGATATATTTTATTTTCGCAAATGGGGTGAAACATATATTATTAAAATAACATTGTACTTTTTAATTTTTTTCTACAACATTGCCTGTTTAAAACTTTTCAAAAGTTAAATATTTTTAAAAGAAAAAGAAGTAATTGGATATAATATCATGACCGTAAAAAATAATATAAAAAAGTGAAGTAATTGATATTTCTTATAGAATATATATGCACGACTATTTTTTTTTTTTGGGAATTTTTATTTTAAAGTGAATAATTATATAATTACTTTAGAGTGAACCACCATGCTTTTTCTTAACATGGAAATGAATCATTATCTGAACTACCAAATTAATTCAAATTTCAACTAATATAAATTAAGTTGAAAGGAATAAGATAATAAATAATGAATAATGAATAAATAGAAATATGTGTATCTTCATTTTCCAGTAAAAGCAATAATGAGTTAAAAATATAAGTTGATTCTTTTTAATTCTTTAAAATTTTAAAATAAAGACATTCAAATATTTCTTTTTCATCTATCAATTTAATTTATTAAAATAGTTGAGTATTTTTTTTATGAAATATATATTAGGAGTTTTTTTTTCTTTTAACGAAATTTCACTAAATAAATGTGGGAGTCCACTTATATACCCATTCCACAAGTGTAAAAATTATCATGAATTAAATAGTGTCTTTGTGATTTAATATGCAATCACGTAACTCATTTTATATTAACCATGGTTAAGATTTATCCTTTTCAAATAATAATAATAATAATAATAATAATAATAATAAGAACAACAACAGTAATAGTAATAAATGGTTAAGATTTATCATGAAATTATGGTAGGTGAGACGTTAATTGTCAAAAGAGGAGGAATATATTCAATGCGTTAGTTTAGAACTTTTCTAAAGTTGTCAACTTTAGGAAGAACAAAAAAAGGTTTACTTTATATAATGTAAAATATTATAAATGTGTGGAAAAATATGAAAAGTGTTATGTTTGTTAATATTTTTCGATAGAGTAAGTATGTGCAGTGGTTGGATCCAAAATTCTTTTGTTTAAGAATTTGTTTTACTAATTATTATATTTAAATAATTTTAAATTCATATTTATAGTACTTGAGGTAAAGTTAAAAGAAAAATAATACCTGAGATAACTAATCTTCAAATTGTCGACTTTTCTCTGAAGAAAAAAAAATTTGTCTGACTTTTTTAGATTATGAAAAATTTGAATTAAAAAAATTATATAAAAAAGACAATCAAATGTATAAAAAAATTAGACATCAATTAGATAAAAAAGACTACAAATTTACATATATAAATTGAAAATAATTTATTTAAGGTTCAAAATTGTAGGACGGTGACTGCCATCATTTATTAAAAGTGGTCTAGAAGAATCTTACCTTAATTAGAGTTTGAATATCCTAACAAAAATATGTGTATATATATATATGAAATAATTGACATATGTGATTGTAAATTTGAATCTCAAATTATATATATAAAAACTTTTTTATATTTATATCTTTTAAAGGAATAAAAATACACTCCGATGCTATCAGAATTTGGGGTGTTATTGTTAAAGCTGCATGTTTGAGACCAATTTAGTTTTCGTCAGCATATTTTGCAACAATTTTCGATTCTTATCGCATATTTAGATTTCTATTTTTCAAAATCTTATTTTCTTCTAAATACTTAAAAGTTTGTTTTGTCTTTCTCATATTTATCTCTAAAAAATTTCTTTCCTTCTCTAAAATTTTTTTCTTCTTAATTTTCTCTCTACAAAATTTATTATTTTCTCTCTAAAATTTTCATATTTTGATTTGTCTCTCTCTCAATTTTTCTATTTTATTTTTTATTTTCTTTCCACTAATACGTTTATTTCTCTTTCCAAAAAATTAATATTTTTCCGAACTTTTTTATAAAAAAAATTTATCTTTTATAACTTTTCCTTCTCTTCCTAATCTATCTTTTCTCGTTCAAATTTCTTTCACTATAACTTTTATTTATTTTTGTATTTATCTATTTTCTCTAAAAATTATATTTTGAATCTTGTTTTTATCTCTAACTTTTTTCCACTATAATTTTTCTCTTTCTTTCCAATTTATTTATTTTTCTTTACCTCTCGACTTTACTTTTTCTCTATTTTTTTCTTTTTGTCTTTTAACTTTTCTTTCACTAATTTATTTCTAAAATTTTTTATTTATTTCTCGAAAATATATCTTCCAAAAGTTTATTTGCATCTCTCTAAACTTGTACTTTCATGTCTTTTACATTACTGATGACAAAAATTTTCATAGGGTCAGGCCCAAGAATAGGAAATGCACGTCCCAACCCCAACCCTGTCCCCGATTCAATTTTTTAAATAATTAATATATATTTATTAAACTTTTTTATTTTTTAAATTCTAAAAATAATTAAAAACAATTATAAAAACGATAATTTTTCTCAAGAACATCTCTCAGATCGAAGATCGAGGTGGAGACGGGGATTAAAAATTTTCACCTGCACGAAAATGGGGGAGAGCATCCTCACTCGCACCCACACCATTGAAATCTCTAGTCGACATAGAATTTTTTCTCTCTAATATGTATTTTCAATTTTCTAACTTTTCAAAAATAAAAAACTAAAAATGATTACCATTTGGTTTCTTGTTTTTTAAAAATAAAATACAAAAATGGTTATCAAACATATATGGTTTTTGTTTTTTAAAAACATAAGACCAAAAACTAAAAATAGAAAAATAAAACACAAAAGATAGAAATGATTATCAAATGGCTCTTAAATTTTCTAGATATTACCCTATGAGAAAACGGAACAAAGAAGAATAGGAAGGTCTAAGATATAGTTTTGAGTTTCTAATTTATATTGGTATAAACCAAAAAAAATATATAAATATATATCATTGACCGAACTGTATCCGGTAGAGAGATACAGATCCTTCCATATAAGTATGAGAAAGTGATAATTTGCTGGAAAGATATAACTCCATTTAAGATTTAACAATTTCTTACAAAAAAAAATTAACAATTAAAATTACCTCACTTTGTAGCTTGCTATTAGATGAGAAATTGACTCAAATGATCTTAAAAAGCCGGTAGAATGCTCAAATGACCCAACCCTTCAAAATGTGCTCAAATGATCTACTAGAATATTTAATTAATTTTAAAAGGTAGCGAAATTACAGTACTACCCTTTGTTCAGAAAATCAAACCATTTGCTACCTTTCCCCCTTCCTCGTCGTTTCCAGCCCCAATTCGTCTTCTCGATTTTTCTTCGCAGTCCCTTCGAATTTCTTCTGAATTTTTGTTTCTCTTGGCGATTTGCTTCGATTTTATGTGTGTTGAGGAGTTGAATGGTTGTTTATTTACGTCGATTCAGTTTTTCGATGTTTAGATGAACGAATACATGTAT